AAAGAAAGGCTGAGGCAAGACACAAGGTCTGCAAGGCAAGTTGAATGGGATAGGAAAGCATATGAGAGATTGCGGGAAGAGGGGTATAAGGAAAAAAATGAAAAAATTGAAAGGTTGATGCTTCTTTTATAGACAATTTGTCTCAGTAATTCCTTGTTGCTGTTACTGTTGTTTTTTGTGACAGCTACTACATTATTCATTCAACTATGTAACAAGACATTGTGGCTAGGAGGATTTCTTTACATTTCTTTTAATTTTTACTTCTTTCTGTGACGACCTGCATGTAGTAAAGAGTAGTGATTTAATTCTAACAGCTAAGATTAATTTAAGACAAAAAAATTAAATTAAATATCGTCTAAAAATGCACCGAAGTATTAAAGCAATGAATTTTTCCTTTTAAAAATTACTAGAGAATGAAAGAGAATGTTGAAGCAAATAAATAAAGAATTATAAGAAGCTGAGATATCTTTTAAAGAAGATAGTGGAGATTTTTTGTAACCGAATGTTATTACTAAAGTCTAAAAACGTGGATTTTTGTTTCCTCTTATTACTCAAAGCTGACCTGTGCTCTGGTTACATAATGTAATCAGGTATATAGACTCGAGGAAAACAAGTAGGTGACCAGTGACTTTGATAGACAAGCAATTTGCAGAATGTTAGAGTGAAAGAAAATTATTTTGTGTCTATCACTTGAGGTCACTGCTGGTATGATTGAATCCACCGACTTTTTGAGAGTATCTCCTTCATTTTTGAAGAGACCACGTATTTCCTAGTAATAAATGACACAGAAATATATTATAAGGGATTTTAAAACTAAAGAAAAGAAAAATGATTTACATAATTTGTGTGAATATCAGTATGAAGATTTCGCAATTATTGGAAGATCTTGAATATGGAATGATATACGTCTGTATCAACTGTTGTGTACTTTAATCAGCCTGAAAGACCATAAATATAAGCTGAACTGTAGTATCAAAGATATATATTGGTTGAATACTGACATAATATCTGTAATAAGTAAACAAGAAAAACATTTGATTCCACTAATAGTATTCTTGGGTTTTTGTTTTCAACTCTACACAAACAGATTGCTATTTTCTTACTGTCTTTTATAAAATATCAGCTCGATCTTACAATATAAGATTTTCCTTTAGTTTTTTTTTAATACAAAATAATGAACGTAAAAATACAAAATAAAAAATCATATCGTTTAATTACTGTACAGTCACTTGGCTATTTTGAACGTCTGGAAATGTAACAAGTGTCTAATTTAACGCCTATGCTAAATACTGTTATATTGCTTGAATTAATGTATTATCTTAGAAGTGAAGCTTTAGACCATGTCTATATACAAGTACAAATACAAATTAAAGTCTGTGTTGGAACATTCTCTATCTAAATCTAGATAATGCAAAAAAAAAGTAAAAAAGAAATCCAAGCCGCATGAGACAATCTGGTACTGATCAATAGTAAAAATGTGGTGCTGGGCTTTATGGATATACACTGAAGCCTGGAAAAGCTTAGTTTATATATATAACAAGTCTTTACTATTGATAATGCTTATGAACTTTTTACATATTAAAGCATACATATAAATACTTTCTTTCTAGTAAATTACAGCCAAGTGTTTAAACCTACTTTAGCTAAAGCTGTATATATAGTCAAAGATCAGTATGATAATAATAGTGAGATATTCAAAATCATAGTACTGTTTATTTATTTTTATTTATTTTTATTTATTTTTTGTAATCATTTCTAGAGAAAGTCTAAGTGAAGATATCTTGTTGTGCATTAGTATCCAGAAGTACATCGTAAAATAATGGATATAACGCACCAAAATGTACAGGTTTTATCTAAGAAGCTCGTATATTTCGATTTGTAAAGTCATTAAGCTACAGAAAATAAGTAAAGGTAATGATTAGAGCAGAATAATATAATTAAACAGCAAACAGAAAATGTAGTTTCTTTTTGTTATGTAATTAATGAATTGGGCAATATATACTTATGTGGATATATAAGTGTTTTACATACTAAAATAAGGCGTTTGCTTTGTTGCTGTTTCTTTGGGATAAAAGCTGGACAGGCGATTTGTGTACTTCTTCTTTACAGTATAGCAATTTGGCTAGCCTTATACACACCTGACTATTGTGAGATTTTGTAGAAAGGCTTAGGGAAACACACTTTCTATACTAACAGCAAATAGTTCAGCAACTATCAAAAAACAATTCTATTCCTTAGTCATATCTATGCACCAATCCATTTCATAAAAAAAAGTATATATAATGGGGGTTTCAACAGTCCTTTAAGTTTTAAGACAGTAACTAATAATACGTAAGAGTTACTGAGTGTTTTTGAGTACCCTAAATGCTTCTTTCAGTTCTATTAGACATTGGAATAATATGATATAATTTTGAGATAATATTGAAAGAGAAAAAGATATTTGCATCAAGGGTTTTATTAAATTTCCAAAAAAAAGGGTAAAGATGTATTAAAGATTTACAACTCTCAAAGGTTTTCGTTCAAGAGTTTTAATTTTTTTTAATGGTCATAAATTAATTTCAACTAATTATATTTTGAAATTTGAGCTCAAAGTCGAAGCTTAAGATCTTAAAGGATGACACGGTGTGTGTTCTTTTGGTTCCGCTCAGACCACGAATATCCTGCAAAGAAGTATGACGCTCTTTACAGGATTTCATTCAATCCCCTTGCACAAGGCATACCCTTGTGTATTGTATTTCATCATTGGTACTGCTTTAATAGAGCTTTATAACAAAGTAGTGTAGATTGTTCACATATAAAAGTCTTCAGATGAAGCAATAATAAAACAGAATCCTTATCTATCTTTATTTTATTGATCAAATCCCTTATTTACTTTTGTTTATACATTTATCTCATCGTCACTGACTTATAACAACTCTTCGCGATGGTTATAAGCATACTTATTGTTATATGTGTCCCTTCTATACACATTTTACTACATCTCCTTACTGTTGGATAGACCCGAGCGTTATCACAGTAATTCATCTCTATCTCTCTATATATTTGCCTTCTGAACTTGTTGGCAACTCTATTTTTATTTTTATTTTTCTGACGTTGCACCACACCAACTCAACACTTGTCAAGGACGGTTGAAACCCCCTAATAGTTTTACATTAATTTCTGCCAATTATATTTTGAAATTTAAACTCAAATCTTAAGTTTTAAAGCTAATAGAACTGTTGAAACCGCCTATTAAATCATAAATTATAAGCCAATAAGAATCAATGTAAAAAAAAAAGTCATTGAGACCCCATTTTTAATTTTATTTAATTTTAATTTCATATCCGATGAGTTTGTGGTATACACACCACAATTGAGTGAAATACAAACTCCACAATCCAGAACGGATACTACAATTGCTAATGAACCTGGCAGGGTCACATCTCAGGAACATAACACACACCAGGCACTCGTACACTTCACACTGCTTCAGTGATAACCAACCATTAACCGACGGAGATCTTAAATTAGGGAACCAAATGTCTATATAAACAGCTATGATCTTCTTTCTTAAATAAACAACACTCTCACAGTACCTATTGTTCCCTTTCCAAATTTATTCCTATACCTCAGAGTTCACAAAAAGGGATACACTGTCTGTATTACCCAGAAATATTCTTAGCCTACAGAGAGTCATAAAAAACAACTCCCAATATAGTATACTTTATACTAGTACAATCAAGATATCTGGTAGGTAGGTTGGTGAGTGTATAGGTAAGTATTAAAGAAGAAGACAAGAGATCGGTGTAACAGTGTATTCAAAATATAATATCTACTTTATATACCCTTTCTAATATGATGAGATCAACGGCTTCAGGGTAATTGATTGAGTATTAATTTACTCGATGATGTAATATGTCTAAAGACTGTAAGCTGTAGTAAATGAAGTTGAAGAACAGTATATAAGAGGTGTATTTTTCTTGTAAAAATAAATGAGATTAGACCACAATATATCTTGCATTTATAACTGTTGCCTTGCTTTTGACAATATGGCTTCTTCAAATAAACAAGCTTCTTAAATAAACCACGATGTTTATAAGCAATCTCTCTTTAAATCTAAATGCGAAACATCTATTAATACTTCAGTTATGTACTGCATCTATACATATCACATAATATAAATGGTATAAATACAAAAAAAGGATATATAGCTTATAGTTAAGTTTCAAAATACACATTGTAAAACGCTTGTTTTGGACACTAAAATAAAAGACAGCACCATGATAATATCTTAAAGTAACGGCTAAAGATCCTTATATAAAAATGACTCTCACGATTGAAAAATACTACTTTGAGGTTTCGGGATTGATTTTGGTTTAGTATTTCAATATAGAAAAGAAGTATATACTGTGAGATTGTTTTTTATTAAAGAGAGTCAAACAATATTATTTTTATGTATTATTATTTAAACCTCTTGTAATTCAAATCCCTGCTATATAATTATTAGTTTAAATTGTATAAATGTGTAGTGTATGTGTGCCTGATATGTAGCAGTTTCAGAAATTGTTAACTTATCAGGCTTATTAGCAAGAAAGAGTCAGTGTTTGATTATGGACACTGCACTTCACTCAATTGTGGTGTGTGTACTACACTTCTCGTCCGTTATGTGGTAGTCTCAACATTATTGTATGATGGTGACCTTCTATATGATGCGCTTTTCTTCTTCGTTAATCTTGCTTCTTTTTTAACGGACTTCGCCAATATGTGGGAATTATTCAAGGCTCGGAACTAGTAATTATAATCGAATTTTCAATTATTTTGTTCATGTTCTTCTTCAAAGTCTTACTTTCGTGAATCTCTATCTTGTTATCGTCTTCTTTCTTAGATCATACAAGCAATTGATGTTGCAGTGTATATCAAATTAATCAATATGCTGTACTGTGTATAACCCGGGAGCACAGAGTTTCATAATTTTTGATCTCACCATCTAAGCCATTGGCTTGAAAGCTTGGTACTATCAATCATCGTGCATCGTGTCCCGTGGTAAATTCTTGATTGACTATATGATCCAAAATAACTTTTGATTCTCGTAGCACCTTCAAGTGATCTGAAATGAATTTCCGTGGGCCAAGTTTGCTATTTGCAAATTCACCAGCCAACACATCGTGCATACTCCCATTAATATTTGTCATAATTCTAAGATCCACTCTATCTCCCAGAACGTTTTCCTCGGGCAGCGTTCTTTTTTTTGCTGAAGCTGAAGTTTGCGAAACAGAATCACCCCTTTATATATACGTTAGTAGCAGGACATAATTTCAATTTAAATAAACAGTCCTACCACTTCAAAACTAAGGCTTTGTCGTTGAATATTGCCGCCATAATTGGTGTCCAGGCTTCATTTACAAAATCTTGCTCCGTAGCATCTTTTGATCGCTCAGTTTTCAAAATAGATTTTTTTCTATGCAATAAACGAATTCTATTGAAAGTATTACATCAAATAGAGTCCTTCTTATATATTTTGTCAACCTTACACGTGCGCATAGATTTCAAAAAAAAAATCTTCAGGGATGAAGGTATATTTCGCCTGAATCCTCGAGCATAATCGGTACGCTTGCTTTGGATCCGAAATGGGTACCTATCAGTATACTCAACTTAATGGTGGTCTAAATTGTCAATAGAAAACAAACATACTTGCTCAATATCCTTCAAGTCCTCTTTAGCCTTAGTAGGTAGCGGTGGCACTGTATGAGATTTGTACACTACATTTTCAAGTGCTATCATGATCATCCTGAGGAAATATGACCTTTGTGTGTCTGAAGCAGTGTTGTTGTTTGAAATATCAACGATAAAGTTTAGGCATAGATAAGCAATGTCTTTCGTTTTTTCGCTCAAGTTCGAAAATGGGAGTTCTCAATTTTAGCTAATTTTACTGGTTTTGATTTGAGGGTGGATCCAACACTATTTTCCATTCCATCCCTTAATGATACCATCGATTTCAAAGAAGATATGCCTTCATATTCAGTGTCTGTGGGTTGCTTTTCTCCCGCTCTAGTGCTGTAGTCTTTCAACACTAACTCACCTAATTGCAATTCTGCAGCCTCATATGCATAAAATGAATTCTGTTTTGACTCCTTTCTCAATTTTAAGACGTTCCAGTGATTGTTGACAGGTTTGCTATAAAGGGCTTATAACGTACAAAGAAAACTTTAGTATCCTAATAAAATATATATAATATAACTATTTACACAAAACTGACTTATAGCAGTTGCGGGAGCTATATTCTTAAAGACACTTTGACTATCCTCACCTTCAAAGAATCTCTATTACTGCCTCTTTAATATCTTAATCAATCAAATCATGGTTGTCTGGATCAGGTTGTTAAGCCTTCAAAAGTTCGATGATATCAAAGCGAATGCTTAAATAATGAGTAATTACGTAATTTTTGGCTGTAATTGGTCTAATAGTGGTTAATATTAGGCATTCACCTAGCTGTGGTCAACCGGTTTTCATTTTCGTTTATAGACAACATCTTTATTCCAAATATGGGCAACATATTAGGGTGCGATACCGGCACAAGAAGCCAGTTTGTACTAGACCTCAATCTTGTTTAAGCCATGACTAGTCTTTGGCTCTTCTTTTTTGTTGGAGTCTTCAAGTACTTTGTCAGCTGCATCATCTGCAGCATCTGCAGCATCTGAATCATCTGCATCGTCTGAATCATCTGCATCTTGTTCTTATTTGTAGGCATTGCTAATAGCTTTGAGTCTCTTTTTACGGAACTCAATAGTAGAGTGCATTTCATTGAAGTTGATGAGTTGATTGTTGTTGCTGCTGTTATTCATACTTTGTAAATAGATAGATAGCTCTGGGTATTCCTTTTTATTTGACCGAAATATATAAAAAAAAATTGACACCAATTACACAGCCATCCATTTTAAGAATGTATGTCATAGTCGTCAACCTTCTTTTCGCTCTTTTTAATTTAATTTATATATAGGCTCTTATGCTGATGTTTCGATTGCTACTTTGATCTTGTCTATATCCTTTTAAGTCATACTTGACAATATCTACAATACCTACTCTAAGTATACATGTTCTTAATACCGATCATTAACAAATATCCCTTTGTTACAATATATATATGTATATTCCAAGTATGTCAACTCATCTATATTCACAAATCTCATTTACTTACTATCCACCTACTATAGTCTCTTATACAAATGATGATCCAATTCATTATACACAAAATCCAGACTCATACCAATAGCCATCATAATCTCTAGATAATCTTGAGAGCAATTTGTACTAAATGGCTACAAAACCTGGCATTGGCAGTGAAATTAAATTCTGAGCCACAAGATTTTCTGAATGAATAGTCCAAAGGCTAATATTAATTTTTGGAGTTTTTGTTAGAGTGAAAAGTTATGATGTTTTGATCAATATTTGAGTAATTTATGTCAAACAGCCTTTAGATGGTGGATCTTAATGTCCCTCACCAGATTACTTGAACATTAAAAACAAACTTTACTTAGCATATTTGGATATATAGCTAATTTTCTGTAATTAATTGGACCATTTTGACCAAAACGATTCTTTTTATTAAACAATTTTTTTTGCTGCAAATTCAACAATCATAATCCACGTCTAAGAGACAAGCATGTAACTTTTTTTTATATCTTATATGACGTGAGCAATTGAGCTGTGAAAGAAATGTAAGGGAGTTTATCTCCTTTTTATCTGTACTTCTGGACATTTTCTATAAGATATAAAAATAAGCCATTATAAAAGCTATTTATAAAGCTTATCGAGCATTGACCTTATATTATGTTAAATACTTTTTTTGTATTTACAAGACAGATCATCTTCACTCCCCCCTTAAAAAGAATATATATTATAAAGGAAAAGAGAGCAAAAGAAGAGCAGCAAAAACTCAAAGGCAAAGAAACAAAAAAAATGTGTGTATGGGTGTGTATTCTTTTTACTCGATCTGTTGGTTGCTGGGACAGATGTCTTTAGTGGGATTTACAGAGATAGCAAGTAGAAGCCCAGTTAGGAGAATGTGCGTTTAAGGAGTGAAATTAATGAAGTAAAGTACAATTCGATGATTATATAATTGGTTCATATATATAAGTCCCATAAGGTAAAGAGAAAGATAGACATATAGTAAAAAGACTTAAAACACAAGCAGGTTTGCGGTGCTATTTTTACATATATTATGGACATTTGGTATATAAAAGGGGGAGGGAGAATAGATTTTAATGTACCAACTAATAAAATAATGATGTACCAGAAGATTTCTGGCGTCGGGAGGGATATAATATATAAGGGGTTTCTCAAGCACCCGCCAAAGTCATGAATGTTGGCGAGGATCTTCTTATTTGAGTTATCAAGAGTTTCCAAATGTAGCCGACTTTGATGATGACAACAAAAGTCGAATCCAAAGTTTTGGCAAAGTCTGCTAATTTGGAAACTCTTGACTTCAAATAAGAAAATTCTCCCCAACATTCAGACTTTGGAGGGTGCTTGAGAAACCCCTTAGTAGAGCTATATAAAGAAGATAGTCAATGTTCAAAAAGAAAGTTTTGTGCCACGAGTACAAAATACAGAATATGAATAATCATGGCAATAAATGGATCTGACACAACCGTGCATATTCAGCGTCTTAATAGTTAACTAAAACATATCTATATGAGTATTACGATAATAAACAACCGACCTTTAAACCAGTCAAAGAGCTTGGCTAGGTTAATATGGACTCACCCTTTCTGATAAGGTCTAAGGGTTTTTTTGGCACATCGTTTTTTTCTATCCTTTTGCTATGCTTTCACTCTAAATAATCCGATACATTTTTAGTAATTCAGTTTCCTTATTTAACTGTATAGTAAAGAGCGGTTGCGCCAGTGTGTGGGCTTGTCCCACCTGTAGCACTTCATCTTACAGACAACGTGGGCTAACAAGGTTTAAAATGCCTTTTTTGATATATTAATAGTAAAAAGTACAAATAAAGTTCAATAATTGCTTTACTATATAACATTAACAACAGTCGATAAGCTACCTCTAAAAATTATCTTTCATTTATTACCCTTCTTTGCTTTTCTTTTATATATCTTAGTTATTTGAGAAAATTATTCTCAATGAACCCAGTAGAACATCAACCTTATATCCCATTTTCTGATCCATTCAATAACAATTACTATGCTAGCTCACAATTCAATATGTTCAACTGTCAAGAACTCTATCCAAACAGCAAATTATCGATTCCAGACCAGGCATCAAGCTCATCCTCTAGGGATTCCCTGTTTTGTCTGAGTGAACGAGAAGACGTCCAGGCACCCTTTGTGTATCAAGATGTCTCTGAACTGAGTGGTAATGAAATTCTCAATATATTAGCTATTCAAGACAGCTTTCCAACTGGTCTTACAGCAATGGCCGAATACCCTCTTTGCAACATTAATATCGAAGAGAATTATGTTCTCAAGTCACTGAGCATTTCCACAAATACGAGTACTGTAAACCACTTTTTGGATCATTGCAACCAGTATATATGTCCAGCTCAAGATCCATACCAAGACAAAACTTTACCTCAGGCAGAATTGTGTGTGCAGTCAACTGTCCAGAAAACGTCAGGTATTTCCACCCATAAAAAATATACTTTTTTTAATATTTTCCAAGAGGATTGGGCAAGAGAATGTAAGTTTGACAAAATAGCTTATGACATTTATTACAAACAACTCACTCAGATAACACTCGACTATTTGCTTGTTTGTATAGATCCTAGAAGGCCTTTTCGTACTTGTTTAACTTCCAAAGCCTTTAGTCCACACAACCTGAATATTTGCGGCAAAGATATGCAGAATAGTGATGGCTCTACTGTTAAAATGTTTTCCTGCCTCGTTTGCAGACTCAAGTTCAATCGTAAATCGAATCTTACAAGGCATCTCAAAACGCATTCACCCGACAGTAAAAAGTTAGAGTGCTTCCTTTGTAAGAAGAAGTTTAGAAACAATTTTAATCTCAAAAGACATGCAAAGATTTGCAAAATTGTGTATACAGATACTACTATACTCAATATATGATACCAAGTCATTGATATTATTATTATTTTAACTTTTTACTTTATACATCTTATGGACATATTAACTTCTTTTCATTTACTAATATTGAATTCTCTGTATGCTTTATTTTTCTTTATATTTTATGCTAAGCGTGTACTTCATTTCTTCTTCTTCTTCTTCTTCTTCTTATTTTTCTTATTCTACTGATATACTCTATACATATACAAGTGTACAATTCTTCAAAAATAAAATAAAATAAAAACTTTATTCAAAACAACCATTTTTATTGACTTTTCAGCTACACACTCAATCTAAAGACAGATACACACACAAACTTTTAAGAAACGTGGGTAGGGGGTGGACTGTATAGTATTGTACTTTTATGTAGTGAGTAAACCTTGAATATTAGATCGTCTAAAGTTTAAACAACTTTACAAAATAGACCAAGACTAATAAGTATGGTATCCCATCTACATTGGTGTGTTTTAATAATTGTACCATTATAGTCAAGTCTAAACTGGAAGTTTACAGTTTATCAGTGTTTTACTCTACAATTTTTGGGAGATTAAGAATGAGGAAGAAATACTAAAATTAAAAAAAAATGAGTTTTGCATATTTTTGAGAGCGATTTTTATACACTTTTTGATATTTTTTTATCTATACGAAGAAAATAAAAATTTGTTGGGAGCAGTCCAGCAGATTAACTTTATTGGAATATATGGGCTATGTAATAACTTTAGAAATTATAGTATAAAATAGAAGTGCTTATATGAATGCTGCCTTTAATTTAAAGGTTATATATTTTTTGTTTATTTTAAATACATTCTAAATTTAAAGTCATCTTTAGCTGTCCTCTCTATTCCTCTAACCTTCTTGCAGCTTCCTCACAGGACGTTTTCTCTTCTTCAGCCTTTCTTTAAATTGCTATGTAGAGTTCTTTTCTCCTAATGAAGAAGTGGCAATCATTTTTCTCTTTTCTCCAAGCAGTGCCGTACATTTGCTCAATTGATCTTACCGATGGGTTTCTTCCTATACCAACAGAGTACTCTCGCCATACATACATTACTCTTACCAGTGTTCTGTCCATCTAGTAAAATCGTTGGTCGGATGGATCTTGCTGCTGTGTGTGTGCCGCTGTTGTTTTTATTGAATAAAGGAGAGTCGAAGAGGTGGTTGCAGTAGTTGAGTTGGAAGAGAAAATGCTACTGCCCATTGCAGAAAAATTGGGCATCTTATCTTGGAGTCTACGGATATCCGCTGCGTTTGCTTCTCTAGACGACAACATAGCGACGACCATAGCCTCAAATACTGCTTGTATAGTTGAGACCAAATCGGACACCACCATTTCTATTCTACGATTTGACGTAAATGCTTCTTCTTCTTGCTCAATTGACTCAAGAACCTCCACTTCAAAGTCTTTGTACAAATCCGTACTGAAAATCTTACAACTCCAATGATAGTACCGTGAGTACATCTTCTTCAAAACAATAGAATCCTGGGAATAAGAATAAAAGTATGAATGAGCTTTTGGTCTTTATATTTTTGTTTTAACAAATTACCTGGAGAAATACTGTGCGTAGGCTTGCAAGCAGGTTAAGAAAGTTGGAACCAGAAATGTCTTCTTGTATTTCTGTATTGGTGTTAAAGCGCTCCTCCGACATCTCAATATCCTTGAAAACCAATTGTTGGAGAACCGCCGAAGGTTTTACTACTTTCCGGGGTAAAGAGTAGTGTGAATTCTGCTGACCATTAAACCCTGTGGGTCTCTTAGTTGCTTCTACTGGAAGACTAGATACATAGCAGTCCACCATTCTGTCCGTGTCCCAACGTCCGACTATTCTTTGCTGATTTCCAGAAACGTTTTATTGGGCAATAATGCTCAAGGTGCTTTTTCTGTTGGCATGGATTACGCCTGGAATATGAATACCTAATTTCTTGAAGTCTTCGACATATGTGAAATGATGTGCTTTGTACTGGATTGTCTTGAATAAAGCATAGCTTTTGAACACCACGCTCTTAAACCAGCTCTCTCTTCTCAACGTTAGGAGAATCTTTATTTTCAAAATGAAAGCAAGAGATTAGATCCATGGCTAGTGTACCAACGGAGCAAACTTTAACATCACGATGTCTCGATAACAAACCATACTCGATTTCGCCATGCTAACTTGTTTTTACATGCGATATAGTTGCCACCAAAGCAATGCACTGGGTTAACCCTTGATTTTCCACTTCCAGAGAAATCAGATCAGTAAATTTCATACCAAGATCAATTTGACTATGTATAATATTGCATGGCTTATAAGAAAGCACAGTCTGTATCTTGAACTACGAGGATTGATTTTGTCGGTAAAGAAAAAAGCTGCTCGCTTTCTTTAATTTTTCTTTAGAATATTCATTGTTCAAGGTGTTTTTTCTTCGATCTTTAAAGTTCATTCTTTTGTGTTTTACTTTCTCTTTCTCCGACGTATCCAAAGAATTTTTGACTAATGGCCCCCTTGTTAAACCATTATTGTTCCATCCAAGTGCCTTTTTTGTATTGTAGATGCTGGCTACAACTTTCATATAACCATTGACTGACTGTCTTCCTAAATAAACAACTGTACCATCATCATTCTTACGATAATTTTTGCCGCGCTTAGACACATACTCTATCAAAAAGAAACTGGGGTTTTTTTTTGTCTGATACAGTGTATCCATGGTGAAACTCTTGCTCTCTGCACCAATTTTAGCCTATAGCATACGAGTCTCAATCATTTAAGCAAATATCTTTTAATAATGTATAACGAATGTTTGATACTTACTTTCCATTCTTCTTGCTTAGCAGCATAGACCTTAATGATGCTAATGGGTCGAGCTCCCATACTTTTCGCCATATTTTTTTGATTGCTGCGGTCCATATCAGTGCTGGTGTGAATCATTCGTTGAATCCCTTCATTATTTGCAGAAGAAGAGCTGTCGTTTTGATTGTTCATACTGGATTCTGTTGATAAAAACTTATTTTAGAATATAAGCTTGGCCAGAAACATTTTCAGCAGGTTACTTTATTGGTACTTTAGGTTTATTGTTATCGGTTTGGAACGTATTGTGGATTAAAACAAAAGTCTCGTTGCTTTTATATTGTGTTTTTTTTGCGTTACTCAAAGAAACTGCATAGTCTTCCTTATCAGTTCTCTAACAGAATTAGGGAGGGACAAAATTGGGGATATTTTTATTACAAATATTTCTTATTGGTTGATTTTCAAGACTCCAGTATCTTTTTTTTCTATATCTTTAAAAAGCTTCATACTAAGTCACATGACTTAGCTCACCACCATTTTTTCTCAAATTCTTTAAACCTATAAATTTTGTCTGCTCAAAGTCCAGTGTGTATATATAACTTTAAAATCCTTTAATCACTAAGTTGCCGGACTTGGCTTTTGCCTTATAATCAGACCCTTTTATAAATCCAATATACTATCAATATTACATCAAATCATGCAAGTTACAGTGTAATTGTGTGCCTATCAGAATATAGCAGTAGGGAAGGGTTTGATAAAACTTGCGGGGAGCCCCCCCCCCCCCTTTCCGTCCTTTCGGGGGGGGGGCACCAAAGTTGGGGGGAGCTCTTCTCCCAAAAAAAAAAAAGGCTAGTTTTAGTTAAAATTGGTACTCCATCGCAGTTCGATTTAAACTAAAATGAAAGTCCCATTTTTTTTAAAAAAATCTATATCAAAGTTAATACAGATTTTTTTTTAAAAAAAAACTGTTTTATTATTTTTTCACCCCGAACACTTTTTTTTCTGACAGAAATTTTCACCACCAATATGAATCATCCCAACAATAACAAGGTCGCTGAAAGAAGCACCCACGCTACCAGAACTCCTAAAGCTACTCCTAAAGCTCATAGATCTTCCAACTGGACACCACTCGAAAACCGCGCCTTGTGTTCAGCCTTTATTCGAGCTTCAGATAATGAAATTGCTGGCAGCAACCGTAGCTCTAGCGACTTTTTTAACGATGTATTGAGCCAATATCTCTTGGTTTTTGAGGAAGGCAGAATTGATCTTCCAGTTACGCGCAGCGTAGCCCAGATCCGTGCTCGTTGGAACATTATACAAGCTGCGGTTATGAAGTTCGTTGGAGTATTGGAAGACGTCCTCGCCCTTAACGAAAACCGAACCACGTTTGAAGATAAGGTAAACCAAAGAGATAAGTCATAATAACAGGACATAATAGGCTAACATATAACAACAGTATCAAAAAGCGCTCCGGTCGTATGAACAGGAGCATGCTTCTGGAAAAACGTTTATGTTTGAGGATTGCTATAATATCTTGAAGGATCATCCAAAGTGGAAGTCGATTATAGCTTCCAAGAACGGAACTGCCGCAGATAGTGTAGCCAGCAGTGTAGCTGTCGTTGTCTCTTCAACTGCTGAAGAGAATATAGCGGAGAATTACCGCCCAGATGGCCGTAAGGCTAGTAAGAGAAGAGCCACCGAAGGGCCATGCCTGGCAAGTGTCATTGAGGAACATCTCAAAGGCGTCATAAGACTAATGGAAAAGCGCCAAAGAAGCACTGATAAGAGTAAAAGATGGGACAGACTGCTCGTTTGTCGCAGTCAAGACTACGAGTTGATCTTGACTGATACCTCTTCGATAAAAGATGCTAAGGTTTTAGCTTTTATTACCTCGAGTAAGAAAAAGGCCATTGAACGTTTGGAGAGTGGTATATATGACAAGTTGGATAATCATAACAATTATTCAGAAGAAGAACAAGACGAATAAATATATATATATATGTGTGTGTGTTTATCCCAAAAGTCTTCTTGCTTTTAAAAGCTTTACAGTGAGTATTTTATTTATTGCTTTTGAGGTTCCAATGGTGATTTATCAGGTCTTGTCTTAATTGCAGAGACGAATCAGTGTCTCTGATTTCCCTGCGTCTTTCAAAGAAAGCATTGAAAGCATCGACACCCGTGTCTCTGCTTATAGTGGCAATGTCTTCAGGACGATAAGGAGAAAGATTCTCCAATCCACTCACACCGCGTTCATCTTCTACTATCATGTTATGCATGATAACACATGCACGCATTACCTCAGTGCAGTTGCTTACTCTGCAAAGTCTTCCGGGATGGCTAAGGATAGCAAAGCGAGACTGCAACATACCAAAAGCTCTCTCCACATCCTTTATACAGTCTTCCTGTTGAGTGCAAAAGTACTATTACATGATATATATATATATATTTAGTAGAGTATATATTCATTTTTCGTTGTTTATCTACCTTTTCCTCGGCTGTAATGGCCTGCTCAGGTGCTGACACAAGGTTGCTATGGCTAGGGTATATTCCGTCAGCAAGGTAATATCCCATAGTATATCTGTTGTCATTGATGTCAAATGGTTTGTTATGGCTCGTCTCGTCGGTATATGACCTAAATACAGGAGATCTGTCCAGAACACTGATGTCATTGGGTGTTCCGGGAAGGCCAAAGAAGCAGTGCCAAATCCAAAGATCATAAGAAGCGACAGCTTCGAGGATCATATTGGGCATCTTATCTTTGGCTTTGTTCGGTCCATGGTAATTTGTTGGGAGGTGCTTCCATGTCCAGTTCATACAGTCAAGTGAGCCGAGCATCCCCGGAAACCCTCTCTTTTCGCCTTCTTCGTAGAGTCTTTCTATGTCGGCGAGCGTAGGGGCACGCAGATATTCTTCTCCAAAAACTTCGCACACTCCTCTGCAGAAATGACGCAGGCTCTCCAATATTGTGCTCTCACTCATCTTCATGTCCTCTTCAAGAGCAATGGCAGGAATTCCAGTAGAGAGTATTTGCATCGCAGCCGTTGTCTTTTGTAATGAGTGCAGTCCAAGCTTTCCGGCTGCATTCTTTTTCTGCATGAAGTATTGATTGTGTTTCTCTAGAGCTTCGTTGATTCGCAAGAATAAACATTTACTCATTCTAAAATTATGACGGAATTTGTCTTCGTGTTCTGAGCCTTCGCCGGAAAAATAATCGGTCATAAGTTTCTCGTACCCGGCCAGGTAATCTCTGTCAATTGTTGTATGTCCAAATACAGAGCCTGCTTTTGGTGCTCTTTCTTCAAAATCTAAAGCCACCAGTGCCGCAATCCTCATACATTTTGTAATGATAAATTCATCAAGTTCATCCTCATCATCTTCTTCGTTGCGTCTCTTCAAGTAGTTTTTTAGTAGTTTCTTAGAGTTCATTGTTTTTAAATAAATTTTTAGAGAAGTTCTTTTTTCCCCTGAAATCAAAGAGATAAAATTGAAATGCTAGATGGAGTGGCTTTGTTTTAGCTAAAATGGCGGTGTTTTTAGTCAAAATAGGATTTAAACCACTACTGGAGATAATATAAAAATTCAAAAACAAAGAGTTAATCTCAAATACTATAGATCAAACAAGTCAATTTGTTCTTCAACAATTGTGACTTGCAGAGACGTATTTGAAACTAACGTTCCCATGGAAGGAGGGAAGGGGAGGAGTAGGTGATTAATCAAATTTGCATTATCCTTACTTTCCCCCTTCTCTATTAAGCTTAGATTTCAAAAGTGACCTTTGGCAGCTTAATGACAATATGTGTAAAAAGTGAAGCAACATCTATATCTCAAAAAAAAATACATATTTTAATCTTGAAATTTGTAGATATTTCCTAGAATTGAGTCATCTTTTACGAAAACCATGCGGTTGTAATTGTCTATTTTGACGTATAGTTTAGAGTCATCATATTTAGCTGTAGGCGATATGGGGATAAGCCGTACCCAGTCGAATTCCTGCTTACATAAAAGAAAAATATATAAGTAACTTGTTTAAAAACTAGCAAAGGCATATAGATATATATATATAAGAGTGTTCATTGATTCAAACCTACCAAATCATACTTCCATGGTGACGTTATATCATCATGACTAAAATAAACTTTTGAAAACCCAAGTTTCTTATTTATAACAAATCTTCCAGGAAGGGTAATAACTATCCAACCACAGCCAACTATTGTTGGGTTCTCATAAAATTCAAATGGCATACAGTGTGTATCATCAGTTATTGGATCATTATCGTAAATTTCCTAAATAAAAAAAGCACAAGTTTATGACAACTATATTAGAAAAGTATAATGTGCAGTAGTAATAAAAACAACATATACTTAGTATATACCTTTAACGAAACCCTGAACTTAAAGGAATCTGTCCACCCACTATTGCTAACAACACGCATTCTCCATTGAACTTTGTATTCTCCAGGAGGAACAGATTCTAAGTTTCCAATCATCTTAAGTATATTAATCAGAATATACGATTAATCAAATGTTTATTATTGTTAAATTCATTAAGGGTAGTACTTTAATTGAAATTACCTTGAACCAACACACTAAATTCAATTTGGCTACATGACCATAAATGCTAGACTCAGTCTCCTCAGTCTCCCAATATTCTGTATTCATGTGTGATATCTCCATATCATCCACAGCAGAAAGCCTTAGAGTAGCTACACAAGAGTCATTACAAAATTAAGATAGAAATGATAGCTTGATCAGTATTATGATGTGCTTGCTTGCGTGCGTGCGTGCGTGCGTACGTGTGCACATATTCAATCATCACTAAAGCATCAAATTTATAAATAACCATAAGATGTATACCTTTTTTGAGATAATTCTGCTTCCATAATGAGTTGGCGCTGTATTTAATAACGGTATCTTTATCAGTCGTAAACCGAGTCTCGTACATTGCTTTCCATAGTTCTTGATCAAAGCTCAACTGTCTAAAATTATGACAGGTCTATGTAGTAATTAGAGTTTGCTATATATTGATGCTGCGGTAGTTACCATGCTAAAGTTCTTCATGTCATATTCGCTGAAGGTGGACACAATCAGGACAATTATCTCAAAAGGAAGTTCAAAGATTCTCGACTGCTTTAAAGTAGACACAAGCATAGTACTGGCTGTAGTAGTGGTAGTAGTGATAGTATAAAGCTTGAAATATAAGAAGAGAAAGACAGATGCTTTTTGATGGCAGTGAATAAAAAAGAAATCCAGCGATAACTATTGCGCGCTTTTAAAACCATTCGGGGATGTCACCGATCCAAATGAGCGTACAAAGGCTTGTGCCAAAATGACACTGCATATTGTATTACAATTTAGGCAGTTTATATATAAAAAGAGGAGTTTTTGTTTAAGTAAATTTATGCGCTGCGACTGTTTTATTTGTGCTTCCGGGTATCTTCTTTTATATATATCTCAAGTAGCACAGCTTTATTTGTTCCTTCTACCTTGTCACTCTTTACTTTCTCCATATTTAATCACCATTTAAGTCCAATGAGGTCTTTCTTTTTTCCAACATTATGTTTTATCTTGTTTCTTTTATTTTTTATTGCTGCTGTTCCAGTCCTTCCTTTAAACAGCATTTAGTTGTATGTATTGGCTTTCGCTTAAAGTCAGTTAAATATCAAGAATATGTGTGCTTACCATGTTTTTCCTTTTGGATAAATCCACTGATTATATCTGTCAGCTGTCATCCTGAATCTTTCGAAATCAATCCCTAAACGCACCTTTATTATATTTAGTTGTTTCTTTGGTTTTATAACTGAGCTCTAGTTACACTTTATGTGGTTTCTACTATATGACCCAGTTTAAAACTCTTGCCCTTTTCGTTTACTAAATAGAAAATTATCTTTAGTAAATTACCAAAAGCGCAAATAGGCCTATCATTTAACTATATAAAAATAATAAGTAGAAAGAAGGGAAAAGGACAGAATACAAGCTTATACTTAATAAATTCGGTGAGCATACACAAATTTCGCTATTATTCTATACTTCTGCTACTAATATAGTATTTGGTTTCAACTGCATCGTATGTACTCTCATACACTGACTTATTAAGAGCTACGTATTGCTTTATTCTTTAATAATACTAGGATTTTTTTCATAGATTACTTATTTCAGTGTATTATACTCATATAAATATTATTCAATTAAGTCTCTATAAAGAAGTGTCTTTAATAAGGTCATCACCTCTCAGCTATTTCTACCTCTTAAGGGTAAGTTTTCAAAACTATCCTCGTAATTTTGACTTTAGTTCATAATATATCATCATTACATATTTTCTATCTTTAGGTTTGACATTAAAAGACTGGTTTAGATGAGATAATAAGGAGATAACAATCAAAATACTTGAATATATTTCATACCCCATTTTTTCTGGCAAAAGACAAGTTACAATGTTTATAGGCCGCTGCTGCTGCCTATAATACTTTGGATAATTGACAGCAACCTGTTTTTTTTGTTGCCTTAGATAACAAAAAAAAGAAGTATTTGCTCATCGGGTTTAGTGTGGTGATAGAAATCAGGCACACCTTTGCTCTTAAAAAAATTGAGATACTTTAAATGACTATTAAATATATAATTAAGATTATATAAACCTGATAGCAGTAGTCATATAAGCTTAAGCGTCCTGCATGCTTCACCATCATAATCGCATTGATTTTGGAGTCACATCTCACTCTTAACATTTACACTGTCTGGTGGCGATTGATGCACAGCAAAGCTCCTAGCAGACAACGGCTACTTAATTATAACACAATAGAGGTATATGACCCACAATGTCTTCTACGTGATGACCTTGAAGATGACGAACACCCATTCTGAGTACGTTTTTGTAAAAAAAAATTGGCATCAAATCACAACCAGGTTTCTGGACACTTCTGCCTCTCTCAAGTTTGACTGCCTCCTCCCCCTCCCCTATTCTCCGCAGTCGGTCAAAGCCCGCAATACCACTGTACCATCATATATTGTTCTGGGATGCACTCTTGGTGCTAAATGGGAAGCAGCGATCTTGGGGGACGGGGGTAATAACACCGCGCAATTTAAGGTGACTTCTAGTCCGATGTCCGGTTAAAAACTGTCTTGAAGAACCCCCCGTCCCCATCCTTTATAAGCACACCCCTGTCCCCATTTTAAGATCATTCGAATTTCCCAGGGAAAATAAAAACGCCCCCTTTTCTAGTCATTGACATTTAGTTGTAAGAACAAAACATAATATTTCCAAATAACAAGATACGATGCCTTTTTTACGCTACGTACATTGCATACATTGCATACATTGCATACATGAATCAAATAAAAATGCATATATAAACACAGTACTCTTTTATTAAACATGAACACCAACTTCGTTACCCTCATTAACAATCTGTACTCTGCTAAAACAGCCTTCTCATTCCCAGAGAATGGTTAACCCGACAAACAAAGCGTTTTGGAGGCTGTAAACAAAAATGCTCTTTCTAACAACTTTACCGTCAAGATTAAGGAGGGGAAGTTTACAACACTTCATCTTGCTTATTCAAAGGCAGGTTCCTATAGGGATAAGTGTAACATCAGTGAGGAAAAAAGAAAAAAAAATCCTCTAACTCTTCCCTCACTGGATGCCCCTTTCTGTTGAGATTCTCCTTTAGAAAGATGAGCCAGAGATATCTTCCCTTGTCTTCCCGTGGTGAAAATTAGCATTGTCATAACCACCCCATCACCCCAAACAACCTGGCTTATACTCACCGAGAAAGAATGTCTCTCCTGACTTTAGAAGATGCCATTATCGCAAAGACAATGCTAGAAAGACATGCCAAGAGTCGTGATGTTCAGAAAGCTACAAGAGATGAGGTCACAGGAATGAGAAAGCCGAGAATTAGTGATGTCAACAACCTGAAGTATAGCTTTACTCGTGGTGGTGAATCATCAATTCATAGCGCCACTGAGCTCATTAGAACTATTGAAGCAAAGGGATCTTCTGCTAACAATTCAATGAGAAAAATGGCCTCACGCATATTTTCTTTACAAATGAAACAATGATAAAAAGAAACTGTCGTTTTCTTGAGGTTCTTATTTCGGATGTCACTTACAAGACTAGCTGCGCAAAAATATCTTTGGTTTGTGTAGAGGGTGTCAGCAACCTTGGTGAAGAAAGATTAAAGGGCTTTCCTATTGCATTCGCGCAGGTTTTCGATGAGACAGAGACTAGCTATGCTTGGTTTGTAAAGTCGTTGAAATCAATCGTGTTGGAAAGAATCGAGGACTGCCCTACCTTTGTTACAGAAAAGTGCAAGACATTAATTAATGCTCTTGATTCTGAGCCCCCTGTGAACAAAAAGCTTCTCTGTGGCTGGCACATGATAAACAACATTGCCAAGATGGCAAAGAAGACTATGAAGGCAGGCGAAGACAGGAATACGTGCACCAACTTGATCAACGGCATGAAGCTTGGAGACAATGCTGACAAGTTTATGCAGAAAAGAGAACTTTTCAGATAGTTGGCTTCTTATGAGGATCTCAAAACTGAAGGACTGTCTGAAGATGGTAAAAGTGACAAAGTGAAAAGTTTTGAGGAGTACTTTGAGAAAGAGTGGATGAGTTTCAAAGAGAAATGGGCTGGCTACCTCACCAGTAAGTTAAAGAACTTTGACTGTGTGACGGTACAGCGTGTTGAGAGTGACCACCGTGCCTTGAAAAGGAGTATCTCGACTCTCCAGTCTTTGGACTCTTCGTTTGAGAAAATATGTTTATATCTCTTGCAACTCGAGGGTGACTACCAAGATAGTAGACTGGACAAGGAGTTGGTGATCGACGCAAGAATCCTTGGTGACAAGCGCCTTTGTGAATTGGTCAATTCGGTTTCCAGAATAGCATTGTTCACGATTCACATCAAATTTGAAGAAGCTACCGTTGTTGAAGTATGTTACTGCAGTGAAAACAATGTTTGGTCTCCCTTGCCGCCATACTCTGCCAAGACATCAGGCCCTCACGCTTACACATATTCCTTAAAGACGGGTTCTCTCTTCTGTCCTGTCATTCCATATTAAGGAGGTAGAGAAATTGGAAATTATAAGTACTATGGCAATTGAGAAATAATTTCCGTGAATGAAATTAATTGCACAACTTGAGCAGCTGTTTAGACGATCTGAAGGAGAACAGCAGGTCTGTAACCTGATGCCGAAGGTGAACAATCTTATAAATAATGCTGATAATTCAAAGGATCACCCAGAGGTTTCCTTTCCTTTGGGGTGAAATTAAAGATCCTGGAATACCTAAGTAAGTCAAAAGAAAAACTGCTCTCCCAAAGGACTTGTCCGTCACAACCACAGACATTTCCTTGCCAAAAAAAAATAAGGTAATGAGATAACATACACGTAATTGCACAATCTAATACAAATGGTTTTTATTTACCTAGAGTGAAATTAGAAAGATCTTAAAAAAAGGCATTATAGATGTGATGAAGGAACTCTTATAGGACAAACCTCGTACAAAAAAGTATGTTTTATTGATTTTTGCAAGATTACAATATAATATATACTGTTTAGATCATCCACAGCGGTTTATGTAAACTCGCCAATATGTAAATTTAAATAGAAAATTTAGATTTTTTCATCCACAATGGTTTGTCTAAATAGATATTTTAGCCAATTTTTTTAGACAATTTTTTAATGGATATATCTAAATTTGGCGCTTCACTAAAACATTCACGCAATAAAAAGATGCGATTTCAGATTTAGATAAACCGCTGAGAATGCTCTTATAAGCAATCTGATTAAGATATTTGTCCAATCACAGACGTGACTTTTACCGTAAAAGATGTGAAACAGGAACGACGCATAGTTTTTGATAGATTTCTATCTTATTTCAAACACTGAAGCTTGGATATTTTGTAGTATTTCTGAAATAATATGTACATTTACACATTTAAAATTTGAAATCAATTGATTATGTTTTGGTTGTATAAACAAGGAAAATATACACTTTTTTCACGTTTTTAACCATCCGAGATAGACTATTGTTTGCTAATAAATATATTTTATACATAATAATATGAGCTTAAAACTTTTACTGAAACATTTTTTTACTATTTTTTATTGATACAACGCACTTTAAAGGGATTTTTACTAATATTTTCAAATTGTTGCTGTCGTTTTTTGTTCAATATTTCACAAATGAATTGTACAGGGCTTTTGTAATTCACTCTTCAAAAGCGATTCAAAAAATATTACAAAATCAACAAGACTAGCTATCATATTCTCATATTTTTATCAACCTTTTTGAACAAGTTATAATTTTTTTAAAAATGAAAAAGAAATGGAAAAAAAAGTTAAGGGCAAATCTTCTTCCAAATTTGCATGATTTTTCTTTGTGAATAAAGACAAGTGATTATACTGGATGGGAAGAGGGTGCTACACACAGAAACGCTGGATGTTTGCCAGACAGGTTAAAAGTAGTAACGCCTCTAATTTACTGCCGGACTACTCAATGCTAATTTGTGTAATACCCTGTCCCCTAAGATTTACGTTTATATTTTTCTCGTAGTGCTTATTTTATATTGTGGTGTGTATACCACAGCTCCCTTTCAAATCTTATTCATATATCCCAAATAGTATTTTGCCTCTAATAAATAGCACTCACAGTATCTATTTTCCTCAATATTGAAATACTAACCCATAAACAGTCCCAAATATCTCAATTAGCAAGATGGAACCAGAGTTTGTTTGTGGAGTCTGTTTTTCACTCAATCGTGGTATGAATACCACACTATTTATTAGCTTTCTATATGTGACCTGAACTAAAACCAAGATTTGTACATCAATTGTTTTGGTGCTTGTCAATATATCATTCAACAACAAGTGGTTAATGGTATAATGCTAAACAGAACAAACGATCGATATATTTATCTTTTGTCTTTTAGGCTTTGCATATATATATATATATAATATGTGGATAACAAAGGACATCAAAACAATACTTTGAAGTTGTTGGTTTTTAAAGGTATAGCAAATTCAGTTCGAAATATGTTTTTTTAGACTGCGCCTCTCTAATATTAAAACGGAACACATCCCTTATAGCTGAAAGGCCATATACGTAGGTCGGTGTAACTTAAGCACGGACACTGCTTTTAAATAATCCAAGGAGTATTAAATGTCAATCAGGTACAGAGTGTACTTCTTTAACACCTTTTAACAGTTCTTTGTGAGTACGCCTTTGATGGCAAAACACTGCAGCTTTCTGACATCATCATATGTTTACATCTACATCTAATCATCGGAGATTGATTTACATGTCAAACCATGGGAATAAAATACGCCATAGAATGTGGGCGTATTTTTTCTCTCTCTTTCCTGTATTCATACCTATGGTGAGTACTGTACTATTGGCAGCATACATAGAGTCTATTCAAACCACAAAGATGGCTATAAAAAACGACCAAAAGTAAGTATCAGCTACAACGTATGAAGATAATAGCCACCTTACGTTTAAAAATCTCACTTTATTTTATCAATGGCTTTTTATTCTATTTTGACTATATGCACTTTCCCAAGACAATACGTCTGTGCTTCTTCTTTTTTATATGACTATTTAGCATACATTGCACGCTTTTATGAGCCAATATTAGCCTCATATTACATTTGGGTAGATGTTTACAGGCGTACATGGCAAGATTTATTTACTGCACTCATCTGTTTTTTTTAGTCTTTCAAAAACCATTTAGGCATCTTTACGCGCGTTTTAATAAGTGTGGTCTACACATCACAATTGAGTGAAGAACAGACCCCACAACCAAACGCTGGTTCCTTCTTGCTAATGAACCTGGCAAGTTAACAATCTCCGGAACTGTTACACACCAGGCACACGTACACTACACACTCATACAGTGTAAACCAACCATTACACAACAGGGATTTGAATTACAGGGATTTGAATAGTAGCAGATATAAACAATATTATTTTTGTCTCTTTAATAAATAACACTCTCACAGTATCTACTTTTCCCATTATTGAGATACTAACCCATAAACAATTCCGAATACCTCAATAAGAACGTACACGTGTAGAGATATATACAATTACAACAACATACACACGATATCTTTAATACAACAATTTAAAGGTAATGTAATACTTTTTTTCTTTACATTTTTAAACACTTTCGCGCTTATGGATAGAGACCAATGATAAGAACATTATTTATAATAACTAGCAAATGCTAGTATAATTACCAAATAGAAAAAACACTTTCTCAAGTCTCATACATCTATAAGAATAATATCTGATTATACAAAAAGACCAATACGCCAACAAACTCCTACTAATATCATTAGCTAATAGCCAGAATGTTTACAAAAACACGTTCTTAGGTCTCATTTACATATAATTATATATGCAATTTAAATGATTAATTTCAATATGTCCCGTTTTACGTTTAAACCATCTACTGACTGTTCATCTAGTAGATGTTTATACTCTACTCTGTTCACGGTTTCCAGCATTCCCAAGGTTAGTAAAGATTATAATTAGATAGATATATTTTGATATCTAGAAAAATGCTAGCATGATTTGAAAATACTTTATCTGAGGCTTCATACATCTATAAGAATTTTATATAAAAAGACCAATGATGACAACAAACTCCTGCTAAAACGACCGGCTAATAGCTGGGATGTTTACAAAAACACGTTCTGAGATCTTGCTTATACATATAATGTTATTATGCTCCGTTTTACGCTTAAGCACTTTACTGACTGTTCATTTAGTAAATGCATATACTTTACTCGATCCGTGGTTTCCAACATTTCCAAGTGAGGTATACGAATAAGATTTGAAAGGGAGCAATAGGTATTGTTAGAGTGCTGTTTATTTAAGAAAGATAATCATAGCTGTTTATATAGACATTTGGTTCCCTAATTTAAAATCTTCGTCGGTTAATGGTTGGTTATCACTGAAGCATTGTGAAGTGTACGACTGCCTGGTGTGTAATAGTTCCGGAGATTGTTAACTTGCCAGGTTCATTAGCAAGAAGGAACCAGTCTTTGGTTGGTGTCTATTCTTCACTCAATTTTGGTGTGTATACTACACAGCTCACAAAAAAAGAATGAATACAAAAGTAAAGTAAGAATTCATATTTTTTATGAAGACAGACCACAATATGAGCTGTAAAGATTTATTACGGGTGGTACCAAAAGGGTATAATAGTAGCTATATTATCAAAAAAAAATTAGTGAATAATAAATGCTTGAGTAAATGTGTGTTTATTGCCATATATATAGTAATATATCTTACCAAAAAAGAGATATAAAGCTTGACAAACAGCTTGAAGTCAAAGACAGTTAGTAAAGAAGTAAAAGAAAGAAGCAAAAATAAAGGAAAATGTTTTACCATAAATTTGTGTCAAAAAGTACAAAAGAGAAAAGAAGAAAAAATAGCTTAACTTCAAATGCATAGATTCTAAAGAATAGCAGAAGATAAACAATAAAAAAACGTTTTATTTACTCAAAGATATATACCTCTCTAATGTCAAAGTAAATGTCTATTTTTTTTATTGATCGGCGACAGTGAAAAACACTGGCCAAAGTAAATCTTGGGAGACATAGTATGTGTTATATCCTATATAATTAGCTTAATGGAATTATTGCCTCCAAAAATAAAAAAAATCCCCTCGGGTTGAGATATTATCAACTTGTCTTTTTTATTCAACCGAAGTTTCTCAAAGTAAAAGCATATAATCTTTGTAGTATAAAAGCGAATAAAAATACTGATTAATGCCTGTATGTGTCTAGTAATTACAAGTAAACTAAAGTATTAAGATGAGACAGAATGGGGTGCCTTGAATAGTGCAGTGCAGTGCAGTGCAATAGTCAAATCTATTAAAAGTAAATTAATAATAAAATCAATTATTATCGATATTTTCTTTAAACAAACTTTTTGGTCCTGCTATTGAAATTTGATGAGCTTCTTTTTCGAAAAATATAAAAATAAAATAGAAGTTATCTTTAAAGATGATCTCTATTGATTTCATTCCTTGTTATATATATTGAGCACAAATGAAATGATATGCTTAGTTAGATGATACCAAAACACTACTAATGCTGTTCACCGGCGTACGAGGGAATTGTCGAGGAAGTCGCAGCACGTCATACAAGATTCCAATTGTTATTCAGCATCTGTTTCTTAATTTTTTACTACAATACCCTGCCCATTTTTATTTCATTTCTGTTAATGATTTGTTTCATTTTGGCTATAGAAAATGAGCCTTATAAAGTATGGTCGTTTAGTACATCCTTTTTTGTAACTAGAACCCTTATTTTAGAAATTTTGTCAATTCCCTTGACAATTACATGGTCAAAAACACCATGTAATTGTCGAGGGAATTTACAAATATATCCATCCGGAATCGAATAAATTGCTATGAAAAGTAATTTTTCTTTCAATTCTCTCGTCCGCTGGTGGACAGCATAATATGTTGGGGTATAATATGCTTCGATGAAAAATCAATAGTGGAAATATTTGATTATGGCTGAGGTTTATTGCTGATATATACAACTCAATATATATGTGTGTAGGAATAAAAAAAAAGTGTTCGGAATTATACCTATAATACTTTCAAAGATATATCTTGGCTTGAAACAATACTTCCTACAATATAATATCTTTCACCTTGGACCTCGGTAAACGGGATACGATATCCGCTAGCACCGAATTATTGGAACTGATAAGCAAAGATTAATGAATTGAAATAAATAAAGAACGCTGTCGAAACGCACAGGCCCAGTATATGGTCTTTAATAGACATATCTATAAAAGGGAGACCTTTGTACTTCAGTAACACCGACCCCAGAAAAGAAAAACGAAAAGAAGTACAAAAGATTCTGTTACTCAAAAGTGATCAATAAGCTTTATTACGTTTTAATATTTAAAGAGGAGCAATGAAGTAAGATAAAGAGAATAAATATAAAGTCCTCCAAAGATCAACTGAAATGTTTCAGTACAACAGCCATAGTCTAAAATGGACTTGAAAACTATCTCACCTTATCTTTTGCTTCATTTTCTTTTTCTTTTATTTTTGTTTCAAATGACAATACTTCATTAGCCTGAGACTCTTTTACTGTCAGACTATTCTTTATTTTACTGTTTTGGTTCCTCTCAAATTATATGTTACTACCTACATTAAGCTTGAAATCCACTTAAAATTAAAAACTCTTAGACGAGTAGTCTGAAAAGATCGTACTACCCATTTAAGATTAACTGTATTTCGCTGTTATATATACAAAGGAGGTGTTTCGATTATGAGACTCCTTTAAAGATGTTATATCCAAGAATTAGTCTCAACTGAATTGGTCCATATACAGAAAACATTTTATAAGCTTTTGGATATGTCAAGTCATCTCCCTCTTTAATGACCCTGAAAAAAAAAGAATTTGTATTAACCCAGTAAATTGTGTGGCTGTAATGTAATTCCTCTGCACTTTTGAGAGTTATATTCCATGAATTGATTGAGCATATTGAAACAAACCTATCTTTTCTATGTTGATTCTGATGGTAGTCATAAATTAAAACTATAGAGTAAAATAACATAAAGTGTGTTGTACTATACTGTGCTTTATTAATCTTATAATTAACTAGGAGAAAAATTGGAACAAAATCCTCCATATACAGATAAATTTCTAAAATATGATTTTAAGCCTTTGGTCCCTTGTAATTTTATTTTATTTTATAGTTCTTATTACTGATAATTTTCTTCAGACTTTTTCGGTACCAAATATTACCCTGACCCTGGCCCTGATCCTTATTTTGGCCAGCATTACTATGAATATACCCGTTTCTTTATTTCTTTTTGGGTTTTCGAATAGTAAGCTTAGACTATTTTTTATCTACTATTTCTTTTGATCCTTTACGTATACAACCCACGTGGCTTTTAGAAGAAAAATAAAATTGCTTATCAAAGTGAAGTTTAATTGGGACTCGCAGAAACACAGTTTTATCCGCAGTAAATTCCTGTCTCTTTTTTTTTTAGCTTTGATGTAACACTATATTCTGGCTGTTTCTAAATCACAACGTTTGTCTCTACTAAATTATGGTAGCAAAAATTATTTGACACTTTATAGAGATATGGTATCTGTTTATTTATTCGAGTATAGCGTGTTTTCCAGAAAAACTGGCTCTTTTTGTACCTTTTAAATATATATATAAAAATGTAGTAATAAAGTCGATTTGTTCTTGGTAGCTCTTTAAAATATATCTTAATGCGTAAATTAGTACTTCAATTAAACGAGTAATACTTTTCACAAGCATTACACGTTTTTAAGCACAAATTATGTCATATAAAGATATATATATAAGTATATACTTATATATATCATTTATTCAATTTCCTTTGAAAGAAGGAAAGCCGTATGCCTAAAATAATTCTGTCTTCTGTCTGTCACACCAGAGAATATGAAATTGTATTCAATGGAGTCGAAGTTTGTACATGAGATAGAGTTCTTTCTTTTTTTTTAAAATATACAATAGGGTTTAACAATTTAGAAAGGTTTTAGCAACCACTAGCAAGATTCAAATCAACTTACTTGGTAGTCAGTCAGCTAGCTAAATAGCTTGTTTTTGTACATCTATTCTGTGTGTGTGTAGCGTGTTACCCATTTGACCAATTTGACTTATTTGATGAAATTGTGGATTTATAGATCATATTTATAGATTTTTTATTTTCTCGATTTGATCTATGATAACTCCCCCACACACACTTTGTATTGCCTCCTTTTTTTTTGGAAAACAGGTTCATCTATCCATTCCCTCGGGTGGCTATAATAATAAAGGGTCTTTATATATATATAAATATTTGACTCAAATAAGTTCGGATTACGGTTCCATTATCTTTATTAAAATGCGCTTTATTTCTTTTTTCGATTTGTTTGTTATTTACCGGTTTTCAGGGATTAAGAGAGGGAAACAAAACAAAAAGTTTAAAAAAAAATACCCAAAAAGACCAAAACGAAAATGTACTGTCGTACTTTCTTAAAACATTTATCCAACAACAACAATATCCGTAAAGAAAAAAAAGCAGCTTTCTTTAATACGATTTTATTAGTCAACATCTAACTATTACTTTGGATTGAGTCCCAGAATGAATACGTCTGTGTTCGCGTATTATTCCTTGATTTGTTTCTTCTTTTTTCTTTACCTTTCTTTCTTTTAATATCTATAGATTTATGTATTACTAATACATATAAAAAAATTGAATAGACTTTTGACTTTATCTATTTTGTTGTTGTTTTTTCTCAAGTAAGAACATTTTACTATTGACTTTGGCATACCAAGCCCAAAGAACTTTAACAAATTATGCATAATATTATTATAATGCTCTCCACATTATTAGCATTTCTTGTAATCAGATTTCTTTTCGTTATTTCTTATTTATTTATTTTTTGGCTATTGTGAAGATCTATAGTACTCATATAACTCTAGCACTATGCTAATTGCTAGCCATAGCTTGATTAGCAATAAAAATGTATCAAAATGGATTTTTCTGGCAGTAAAGAAAGAAAGAAAGAAAATGAGCAATCTAGAATAGATCCAATGTAAGCAAAGTGCCACTCCAATGCAATTACCGTGCATTGAATGGAGAAGCCCGGGAAAGAAAAAAGTACAGGGCAAGTCACAACTGACTAATTCCGACAAATGTTAAAATAGATTGTGCAACTACCGAATCTATTTATTTTATGTATATATATATATAAGAAGATCCAAATGAACAATCAACGCACATCTCTCTCTCATTTTATTTATATTTTTAGATAATACAAACCTTCTTTTCTTACTACTGCTCAAATTATCCTTGAACCCTTTACTTTCAAGCACAACATCTAAGCATATTTTCTTGATTCAATTGAACACCAGATCGTTAATGGATATAAAGCCAAATACAGTACACTGCATAGTGAACAACCTACACACCCTCTCTTCACAAGCAAAAGTGAGCAACGTACAAATTGTCCTTGAAAGTTACAAATGGTAAGTGTAAGTAGCTCTAATGTATATAAAGAATCAGTAATAAAAAGTTATTCTGTCAATGCGCATTATTTAAAGCCTGTAAATTATTTATATGTGTATTCATTATTATTATTGTCTGTATATTTTCTCTAGTACAATAACAGTAAGTCGATATTTGCATATACATGCATATCTTAAATTAAATATTGGTTATATTAACTCTGGTCTTAATATATGTATAAAAAATCTTTGTATTCATGTATTGCTATAGCTCTCAAAAGACTCAAACCCTGAAAGTGATGTAAGCCCCGCGAAGCCAAGTCTTGGGCTTTTTTTTTCGTGCAACAGTTTTTTTTTCAGCCTCCTCCTCCTGTACCCAGAAAACTAATATTTATATATCTACTTAGCAACTCTGTGTCGAAATCATCTTACAGACGGTCGGAAATAAAGACAATATACACAAATTACCGGACTCACTCAAAGCAAACATTGTAATCGAAATTGTCACCACCTACACTGACAAGAATCTAAAAGAAAAACATAGAACCGAGTATGACAAGTGTAGGTGAATTTATCAAATTCTACCCAGTAGCACACAAACAAACCTTAATATATATATATACAAACATTTCTAGTGAGCAAGAATAATGGGCAAGGTAACGCACACACTTTCTTTCTCTTTATTTGCTTTGCTCTGTACTGATATACTCATCGACTTACAATAGATGTATACAAATGGAAGCTTTCAAATCTTCACAAGTTTCCCGAAACATCTTGTATCGATACTTCTCATATCAGTGTCCATGTTAGGCTGGAAGATATTTACAGCCAGCCATTGAATCTTATATCCGAAACCACATCTCTATATCCTAATCCATCAGACACATATGACATACGAATTAGAGTAATTGAAGATGAAAACGAAAATGAGAACGAAGAAAAAGAAGATGCACAAACAGGTAATTTTTTAAAAGAAAATAAAATCAAAGATAGCACCAAAATGGCTTACTAATTGGTGTATTACATAATATATGTATATATCTTTATCAATAAAGTGTCAAAGAGTCGAATGTTTTATTGCCACAAGTATCTCTTGACTGATATATCTGATTGGTTCAAAGACATGCTTTTGAGCAGATCAGACAGCACTGGTGATCTAAAGATAACCATTCGAGGTGTACATCCAGATATATTTGAGAAGCTGTTCACATTCATGTATACATCCAGATACGATGCAAAAAGTGTCTATGAAGCTTCACAGGTCATCAAGGCATCTACTCGATTTCAATTTGGCTCTATTCGGCACCAAGCATTCCAATACCTACGGTCAAATATCAATAACGAGACTTTGTGGATCATCTGGGATTTGTCAGGTAAACTCCTTCTTATTATTATCTTCATTCTTCTATTGGAAGGCCAAAGTATAATAACTAAACCAATCCAAAAAAAAACAACAACAACAACACTTTGATTTCTTAGTCAGCTATGGATGCGAACAGGCTGTATGTGCCTGTGAAGACTATGCGAGAAAAGAATGCAGAACCTTATTAAGTGTTTATGGATGGCAAGATCTGGACCAAGAAAGCATAACAAAAATGATCTGTGTTGGCGGCCTACCTATCAGCATCACCAAGACTCTGTTACACACTACCCTTCTGGCCTGGAGATCAAGTACTCTTAATAGGATAATGTCCGAGTCGTCCAAGGCCAACAGTTCTTCTTCGGCTGGATCAGATAAAGCTGGGTGTAATACCCAGAGGTATTTCAAGGAACTACAAAGATATCCAAAATCAGAGGAAGAAGTTGAAAAGGTCTTTTTTGAGATAACCCAGCTTATTTGTTCGAGTGAGATTTCTATACATCGTGTACGAAAACAGACTAAAAGGGTTACTAGAGCAACCATACCACCATCTAGTAGAAAACTGGTAAGTATAGCAATACTTATATATTATGTATGGATTTTTTTTCTATACATTTACATCTATATTTATATAACTCTTGAGTTTGAGACAAGTACTTACCAAAAATTTCCCACTTTTATATATATGTATACATTATTATTATTATCACTATTGACATTATCATTATCATTATCATTATCATTGTTACCGTTATTACTACTACTACTACTACTACTACTACTACTACTATTATTATTATCATTTACTATTGCTCTTGTTATTGTTATTGCTTCTGCTGTTGTTATTGTTACTGCTATTGCTAATAGGTTTTTAAACCAATGTACTTTAATAACAGTGGACCCAAGAAACATTGCAAATCAAGAGACTCTTGATATAGATAGAGATTATATTAACCAAGGGGTTGTACCTCTAGTGTTAAAAACAAAAATTAGAGCATGAATATATATATATATATATATATTTAAATAGCATTTTTTCAGTAGAATTACTAGACACGTAGATTATATAAACCAAATTGACACAGCCTAAAAATATGTATAGATTACTTATTTAAAGAAAGAGAAAAAAATATTAAAAAGAAAATGAAAATAAAGAAGAAAATGAAGAAAAATAAGAGTAAAAATATACTCATTGCACTGTACATATTACAATAAATAAATAAATAAATAAATTATTTCACCAGAGAAACCACTGTTAAGTTTTTTTATTTATAGTTCCGGATAAACTACAATTCAACTTCTTTATGTTATACAATTATCATTCGTGTCCGACACTTTTCCTCTCGGGCACGACGTTTCTGTAGAGCACGAAAAATATTCTAAGAGCATCTGCAGCAGTAGCATTTCCATTAGCATTAATTTAAGTGCTCATAAGCCACATCTGAGGTTTAAATCAGTAAAAATATTGAGGGTAAAATATCAGTAGCATAATAAAAAGAAGCATTTAGATAATTATACTATCTGGTATAGTCTTCTTCACTAGTAAAATTCATTATTATTAGATATTTTTCTTTTATATTTAATATAAAAAATACAAGTTAAATGTTCTCGAGACTATCAGCTTTGTAGTGAGCATAATTTTTGTGAGATTTTTTAAGTGCTGTTATATACTATTATTCGATTTAAAGAAAAAAATAACAAAGAAAAACGATTTAAATGCTCGGCAAGTTTTTAAAATGAGCATCTATTTCCATGCTCAAGGTCATAAAAATCACGGAGCATGTAAATACATGCTGTCGGAAATGCTACTGCTGCGGACGATTTTTTTGAAAAGCATTTACAAAAAGCACTTAAATCGGGAAAAACTAAATTTAAATGCTACTGCTGCAGATGCTCTAAGCACCTATTTTCATTATGTAGCATCTATTTCTTAATTTCTTACTAAAATACATGTCAATTTTTATTTTCTGTTAACGATTTGTTTCATTTTAGTTATAGAAAGTGAGCCTTATAAGTATGGTCGTTTAGTACAGTAAAACACAGTATAAAAGGTGCACAAATTGAAAATTTAAGGCGTATAATGGAATGTATGTTATATTATGTAGAAAATGAGTAATTACAAAGGTTCCTTATTTTCACGTCTGGTGAACTGGTCTACAGAATGATGTATAATGTTGTAGTAGTCATCACTTAGACTACTGCACCCTTCCTCAATCCTGGTTAGGATTGTCTCGTTGTCTTTAAGATTTTTTTTATCTTACACTGTCCTTCACTACTTTCCGGAACATTTCAATAGGGTTAAGTTCTGTGGGGTATGCCGGAAGGTAAATGGATCTGTATTCCCTAGAGACGATGTACTGGCTCATACCTGCACTCTGGTGGATCGGTGCGTTATCCATCACCAGAAAGCTTCCTTCCATAGCGGGGTACTTATCCATCTCACCAAGGATAGACTTTACAAACATAAAGAAATGATCGATTGCTGTGGCCTTTTTACCAGACTCGCCGGAGGAGGGCTGCTTCTTGCTAAACTTTGGGTCTCTTAAGCTAACATAAATGACGCCCTTAGCCTATATCACCCCAAGAATGCTGAGGGGGTGGTAAAGATTCCCTTTTGCCCTTCTTGGACCAACCTCTTCCTTGTCGCATGTTGATGTCAAATGCTTACTCGTCTAAGAAAGCACAGTTCTTCATGCTGTTTGCATTCGTTTTCTTCAACTCATTTATCCAATCCTATCTTTCTTTGGATATTTTTTTCACTATTCTTTACTACAGGCTACTTGTACACCTTTTTTGAATGTGAGGTTACATTCGTCAATCATAAATCTCCTGACTGTCTCTCTCGAAACATTGATCTCACCAAAGATAGTAATGAGATGGTCCATCACATCTTTTACGTAGACGGACGCATTTTTGGCAACGAATTCCTTGATGCACTTCTTGTGCTCGTCGGTTAATCGTCTTTTACCGCTTTTCTTGCCACGTACGAATATATTATCCGGATCTTCGTCATACTTCTTCACCCAACGCTGAGCCACTCTTGGATTGATGTTCAGCTTCTTTGCTGCAGCATTTGCACTCAGCAACTTCTCGTCCTTCAGCTTGAAGAACCTTATAATATCTTCGTCACTATACGTGTTTCGCTGACGAGTAGTCTTGCCTTTTTTCGCTGGGGGCATAATTGGACTTCCTGCTCGATCGTCCGTTTGGCCATTCTAAATCGGATACATATTTAAATACACTTATAGTTATCACTTTGTAAAAAAAATACCTCTGAGACTTCTGGCAGTATATCTGTATTTTTCGATTCAAGACATCTAGAATGTGTTGATATGGTCTGGAGACCATGGCTGTTTTCATCAATCATTTGGCTCAAAGCTTCAGATCCGTCTTCATTAACGATTTTTCCTTGACCGTCTTCATAGATTAATTTAATAGAGGACATATTTTTAAGGTAGAAGTTTAGATAATTGAGAAAGGATGTATATATTGTTTATTTAACTACAAGCAAAGCTTTATGCAAGCAGATTCTCTTTGAGGAATTCATTCTCGAATTAATAAAGTCAGTCACGGCGTACTGCACTAAATCAAATGATACATACACTTTTTCCGGAAATTATTGGTGCAAAAATAAAAATCAATTTGGTGCACAAACAAAAATAAATTTGGTGCAAAAATACAAAATTATTTGGTGCAAAAATGGAAGGCACCAAATGCACCAAAAAAGATGAATTAAGCAGAGAAATGGTAAAAAAATTGCACAAAATTTTATCTTTGTTTTTGCACTAAATAATTTTTTATTTTTGCACCAAATTTATTTTTGTATTTTTGCACCAAATTTATTTTTGTTTGTGCACCAAATTGATTTTTATTTTTGCACCAATAATTTCCGGAAAGAGTGTACAAAAACTAATGTTTGTACTTTTAGAGCTTCTTGTTACTCCTAACATTTTGAATTTTTTTTTAATTTCCTATATGTACTTTATATATAAAGGGAACTCAATACACCCCTTGCATAATTTTCGGCAAGAAAAAATAAATAAAATGTACTTGGTATGTCACTTTTTTTGTTTTTCTAAAAAAATTAATTAAAATCTTAAAAGTTCGCCTTATATTTTCGAATTGTGCGACTTACAAATGTGTTTTACTATACAACATTTTCTTTCTTAAAGATAACCAAAACCCCCCAAAAACCAAAAACCAAAAACCAAAAAAAAATAAAAAAAATTGTTGGCTAATCCAAGTATTCTATTTCCAAGCTATGTAAAGTTGTAAGAAAAGCGATCAATTGTGTTATCTGTACTTCTTTTCTCTCAAAATAGCTTGATCAAAGAAAGAAATGCAATTGCCCATGTTTTTGAAAATAAATTTGGTCAAGAATATATTTTGTATTTGGTTGCTTTGTAGAAACAAGCTTTCTCTCATGTTTATTAGTTTAAAAAGTGTGGTTTCTTTTACGAATACGGCTGTGGTAATATTGTTGATGACAAAGAAAAAGAAGCAATAACCTTTGTTGAGAAGTCATTCCGATTGAGAAAACTGATCAATCCTAAAAAAAAAGTTTTTCAAAACCTAAAAAGCTCAATTTCAAGCAGTTGTTCCTTGTAATGTCGTAATAGAGGGGTCTGTCCCTAAGAAAGAAAGAGCTGTCCAGTATAATGTCTATGCTGATGAGAACCACATGATATATCTATATTTCTTCAAATCAAAGATAATGACGCCAAAGGAGGCAGCCAAATCCGCAAACGACAATTATGATACCTCGCTAAAATAGAAAAAAAAAAGCTTGTGGAAATGGCCCAGATAAGAACATACCTTTGTGGAAAATCAATCGCACCTGAAACAGACCAATCAGCCAATTAAACGATGAGAATAATGAACAATTGGTTAAGAGTTTTACAACAGTCCCTCGGCAGCTATTCAGGGCGCAACCGATGATTTGATCAAGTATATTGCAGGTGTGAGCATAAAGATATCAGGAGTAACCGAATAAATGAAAGAAGAATATACTCCCAGTTTGAAGGGCGTAAGTCATCATCCAAAAGCTAGAAATTGTGACACTACTCTTCTAATGTGTGTTGTATGAGTTGAGGAATGTATCTTCTAAAGAACTGCTTCTTTTTTGACGAATTTGGGTTTGCTGTTGATATGAATTGTAATAAAGGTTGATCTGCTTGTGGCTCACTAGTTATCTATTGATCTCAGATTGAAAAGGTCAAGTTGTAAACTGTTAATGGAGGTAAGAAAATGAATTAGGATCTAAAATAATTGTAATAGGAAAGTCATAACTTTTGTTACCTCTTTTTTTTCTTCGATTTTTTTTTTACTGTGTATAACAAAATTAAGCTTTATGCCGGTACAAGTTCAGATCGCCTAATCTCTAACAAATCTCAATGATTGCTTAGAACATTGTACACTAACTCAACACTTGTACTTTGCAAACACCATAGGTGGCTCAAATGGTAGAAAACAAAGCATAGCAGATTCACATGAGTGGCATAAAGCGCTCTGATTAAACGTCACTTGCAGAATTTTATAAAAGAAAAAATACAGTTAGTTTATCTGAAAGGAGCAAGCTAAATACATTGTTACTTACTAGAATATCAGTGCAAAATAAGATGGCGTACATACACAAACATCGGCACACGTTCAGATCGCCCAATCTCTAACAAATCTTGATGATTGCTTAGAACAGTGTGCACTAGCTCAATACTTGTACTTTGCAAACACCATAGGTGGCTCAAATGGTAGAAAACAAAGCATAGCAGATTCACATGAGTGATGTAAGGTAGCATAGATATTCATAAAAGTTTAACAAGCTTTATGCCGGTACAAGTTCAGATCGCCTAATCTCTAACAAATCTCAATGATTGCTTAGAACATTGTACACTAACTCAACACTTGTACTTTGCAAACACCATAGGTGGCTCAAATGGTAGAAAACAAAGCATAGCAGATTCACATGAGTGGCATAAAGCGCTCTGATTAAACGTCACTTGCAGAATTTTATAAAAGAAAAAATACAGTTAGTTTATCTGAAAGGAGCAAGCTAAATACATTGTTACTTACTAGAATATCAGTGCAAAATAAGATGGCGTACATACACAAACATCGGCACACGTTCAGATCGCCCAATCTCTAACAAATCTTGATGATTGCTTAGAACAGTGTGCACTAGCTCAATACTTGTACTTTGCAAACACCATAGGTGGCTCAAATGGTAGAAAACAAAGCATAGCAGATTCACATGAGTGATGTATGATAGCTTTAGTTAAATCAAAGCATGATGGTATTTGTCTAATTGAAATTATTATTTTTGTAAGCCCAGTAAAGTTAAATGTCCGACAATGACGTCTAGATTCAATGTATTTTGCGCACACGCTTAGAACCTCTACCCTTTTTTATCTGTGTAGCTGAAAATGTCTATAACACCACCCAAATTACCTAAACCATACGCTACTATTAAAGACTACACTATACCCGATAGCTTAAGACATGCCTTAAATTTACCCTCTTATTTGTTTACTGGGGAATTGCAAAATTGGGGCAAGATCCCTGAGTTGTTAGATGCATATTTTGAAGCATCACCTGTTGTTGCAAAGAATGGCCATGCTCTGTTAACAACCACCTCAAATTTCTTAAAGAAGATCAGGGAGAACAAAGAAGTGATGAAGACTGTACAAAATTACTGTGGTCGTTTGGAAACCTATCTTAGTAACAAATTTGTCAATAATCAAATTATGGCTTTATATGGGTTGAAAGAAGTAGAATGGAGAGAAAAGAGAAGCGTGAACATTTTAAAGGCAGAAACAAGAATTGCAAGCAACAGAATAATAACTAAAAGAGTACAAAAGGTTGGAGAAGGAAACGTCAATAAAGAATTAAACAAAAAGCAAAAAATTGATAAGGTATGCATGTATATAATATGCTTTTTAAACTGGTCCGAATTTCTCACAGAGAAGTGTAAATCAAAAGTTGTTTGAAGACGACGACGAGATATCACACCCGATACTCCCAACTACCTCATGCAATACTGAAGATGACAGTGCTGTTGAAAATACCAAAAGCGATGATGATGATGATGTTTTCAGTGCTATAGACGACGTATATATCTCTTACTACTTAACTATCACACATTGTTAATGTATCACTTTTATTTAGGTTTACGGAATGACTGTTGTAAAAGAAAAAAATGTTTACAGATTCCAACCTCCTGCAAAACACTTGATCTCACCCCACAAGCCTGTGATACAAGCTGAAGATCTATCGGTTGTCAGATATTATTTTGATATATGCGTGAGTACTTGTGAATCAGAAGCGTCCGATGAAACCAAAGCTGAATATGAAGCTATGATGCAAGAACAAAACAACTTGCAAAGCTTGAAAAATTTGGGGTCTGATGTCATGGATTGGGTTGCAAGAATCGTAAATTGGTCTGAAAAGGATATGTTCAAAAACCTAGGAACCGTCCCTGACCTGCCGTTTTTGAATTTTGTGAAATTTACTATTGTTGACTTTCTCTTAAATTGCATGCGTACACACACATATAACCAAAACGATGAAAGAACTGCTTATTGTGAACTGTTTATTCCTATCTTTAAAGCATTTGGGAATACAACAAAAAAGCTGAATTATGTCTGGTAGGTATTATTTGACAAAAACACTTAAATAAGATCCCACTAATAATAATAGGGGCTCAAGGTGCGAGAAAAAGGCGAAGGATTCTGATTATGTATGGCTTGTGTCAAATAACTTTGCTAAAGATAAAGGTAGCTTGAAGCTACTAGACGGTATTGGAAGACTGGTTGACAAAGAATTAAACTATCTTCTTATTGAATCATCTGGGTATGATCAATTGATTATTATTGTTATTGTTATCATTTATCTTAAATAGTATTCACTAACATTCCTTTGCTTTAAGATTCAACAATTCAAACGTCTTGTCGCACAGTTTGAATGATACCTTAAAGAACATGAAAAGTGGGTCAGACAATTTGAAGTCTTTTGTGTCAAACTACAAAAAAGCCTCTTTCAGTACGATGAAGAAGGCACGAGTCTATACTTGCCATATAATTCAAAATAAGATGACTTTAGTTCGATACAAAATTAAGTCTGCTTCCCAATGGCAAGTTGTTGAATGCCGTTCTGCCTCCATACCTCTCTCCTTCTCTGGCATAATTCACTATACTAAGGTTTTTGAACTTTTCGCTTTCCTGATGGTACGTATTTAGGATTGATATGATATTACTGCTACTTTTAATGACTTGGCCCTTTTTAGAGTGATATGGCTGAACAAGATAGGGTTTTTCACCAGCTAGAGATGGAGTCGTTGGGGCTGGTTCAAGTGCCTCAAGATAAAACTGTTGCTCATGTTTTAATGTAACATTTATGCTGGTTTAATATCCCTTATTAGTACCATGCTTTTATTTTATAAAAGCAAAATGAGTGATTCTACTCTTTAGGGCAATAACTTTGATATAAAAAATCTCTTCGAAAAGCAAAACAGTTATTTCTTATTGTCTCTTAGTTTGTTTTGCTTGGCCCTTCTTGTAGCATGCTTTATAGTACCTAGAACTAAAGATAATGCGTGCCTTCACTATTGTGAGCGGTTGAAGTAGTGTATCACTATGTTTCATATAGTCTTTATCTTTATGTATACGTCGTGTATATAATACTCTCGTATGTCATTATTCGAAACTGGGTATTGTGTATTGTCTGAAAGTGGATTTTAAAATAAATTTGAAATTATGGAAATATCACAATAACATAATTTTCTTTATAGATTCTTGATCATGGATCGCTGTGCTAGGAGAGGTTGAAGACTTTGATGTGCTTAAAATTTACTGAGGATTTAATGAACACACGATGGAAGAAAATCAACGACTGTATTCAATGGAACTCAGTACCACCACCTTCATCAATAACATTCCCGGGCCCATCTTCATATAAAAATGCTGTACTCATGTCAAATTGTAAAGTTATTAGAAATTATACCCACCCTCCTTTTATATTTTCGGGTGCCAAGCTTTCTAAGCAGGCGACATCGTTTCTAAAGATACACTATTTATTTCTGAAAATATGAAATTAATTTTGACTATCCACTGACATTATTTGTTGGACTCACTGTATAAAGGTTACTCTGAATAATACACACATATTTAAATAAGTTTTTCCATTGAGGTGACAAATAAATAATACATCAATGAAAAGAAAATATGCTTGACACGTAGAAGCTTTATAAACACAGTTTATGGTATAAATATATATAATAAGAATCTGCATATGACCAGATACAACTACTAAGACTAGGTGTGTGTGTGTGTATTTGAATCTATGTGTCGTCTATAACACTAAACTTGAATACTGTGTTATGTAAGTATGCCTACCCAGTCAAGTATTCACATCTTACACCCAATTTAGTGATATCATATATAGGAAATATGTTCAATATAATCTGGTTATTTTTCTTACCTTGTTGTAAAGTAAAATTGCTAATGTTTGTCTTTAAAGAGACATACTTTGAACTTATAGTAGATAATATGTATTTGTTTGAAAGATACGGTAATATTTAGATAGCTTTCTTATACCCCCTCTATACTAGAGGTCAGTGATAAAGTATTTGATTTCTAATTCTCAATAAAATATACATCAAGTAGATTATGTTACATCTCAAAAATATGACCATATAAATTTAAATGTTAAATTTCCCGTATATATATTATAAAAAGAAGAACATGTAAAAACAAGAGTTTAATATATTGTATAACCACAATTAGCTTTGATAGCTTCTTTGAGTCTATTGGACATACTCATCCAATAACATATATATATATAACTTTTGGATCGAATTTTCAAAAATCCGTGGAGAATACAGACTTTTTTTAATTCTTGTGAATTGCTTATAAAGTTCCTTTTTTTCCCTTGGCTTTGATACCATGTTAACCGTGCTCAACTGGGCTTGGGACTAGGTTTTTTAACGGGCAAGTAGTCAAATCATTGACTTTTACCTCCCAAGTTTTGAAGTCCTTGGACAAGCATCTCTAAAAATAACAATATCCCAAAATCATTAATCGAAATCAATCCCACGCCATCACGCACCCCTGTACATATATCCCCACTTTAAGGTTTATGGCGCTACTGATTACTTTAATATGACTTAATTCACCAATCATTTAAAACGATTGTTATTTATCATGAATCTTAACTCATCCAACTACACCAGGGTCTTTAATTGATAAAAATTAAACATTTTGCCAGTGATATTTATTATATAAAAAGAAGTATACTACACACATGCATTGTCTTATTCCAGTCTTCAATGCTATAATTGTCTCTAATGCTAGCTATGTCCAAATACAGCCCATTTTATCCTATCCAATTCGTTTTTTGCTTACGAGCCAGATTTGGAACAGCCTTCACACTATGTTTTTTTTTTCTATTATTTTGTTAATATCCTTATTTTCTCCAAAATCTATGACTTGCTTTAGCTGTTTTAATAGTCCCTCAATATTCGATAGTATCGTAATTAATTGCTCTAGGAACGCTAATGTAGGTTGTTATCTCAGCTTGGGTATTATTAGCGTCTGAAATCCCGTCAATGCCTCCACAATCAGACCTTACCAACTCATGTTTAAGGTCATTGATAATTACTGACTGTTTGAATAATAAATTATGTCTACCTAGCCCATTCTCTTTACTAATCTTGAGGTAGGCTTCATACAAATTTTGGAGTTCTTAATCCGGTTTAGACTACAATATATGCTCTAATCCAATACCATAAATTTTTAATAGCGTTGTAGAATATAAAGACAGGTCATCCGTTGTAGCAAAAATGAAATGGGTATTAGAATCAAATAATGTATCGAAAGTTAGAATTGTGTTCTTTTCATCAAGTTGATGTATAACGTAGAATATTAAACTGCTTGTTATTTAGAGAATCCATCGAGGCTCTAATCGAATAACACCTTTTCTCATACTATACTACCGGCTTTTCTTTGCTAAAGAGATATATATATTGTATTGTACTTTATGTTTTTTTTCACAAACGTGTACGTAATCTTCATTTTGATGATGGATTTTCCCTACTAATGTATCCTTGAGATGATCAATACTTTTGTGTAACTGGATCAAATATGTTTTAAAACGTCTATAAATGTAATACCCCTGATATTATTTTCTTGTTGCCATGGCCACAACTGTAAGAACAAAAAAAAATGAATATATGTACTTGACATGGTGGATAGAATCTACCGCTGTTTCTTGTATCTTTCATCGTAATTAATTTGGAAGTGGTGACGTAGTGTATAATGAAGTAGTCAAATAACCATTTTGTTATTCGGTCTTTAATAAGAATTGTCTTTCCACTTGTATTCATTTCCTTGTAATTGATTTGGCTATTTACCCTACATAACCAACCCACCATTGGTCATACTTAAAGTCCAAAGGCACACATATATAATAGAAATCACAATAAAGAAGATTAACCTCATCTTCAACTTTTATTTTTTATTTGTATTTAACTATTTAATTATTTATAGACAATCTTTGTTTTTCTTTTAGATTCAGACATTGGTATAGAACTCCCCAGAGTATCGCAAATATACCGTCCCCAAATGTATGTAATTTTGTGAAGGCAATGTCTTTTAGCGAAACAAGTACCCAAAAAAGATTAATCAGCTCCTCGATTTTCTGAATTCCTACAACGGAGCCTTTTTTTTATGGCAATTGAAATTGTTTTTATAAAGCTCACATCTAAAAATAATAACTGGTTCTACTTATTTTGGGATTGACTTGAATAGGATAGATGAGCTTTCTATATTTCGTAAATGAACTATTCGAAATATTTTGTGCCTTCAGGTATATTTTATGATGGTATTTTTCTTGTATTATTTATTTGGAGTATAAAGGTCTGTATGCATCTAGCTAGTTTATAAAATTTATAAAGTATCTTCAATTACAATGTGTCTATTATTGTGGGTGGCCAGAATTACTATTTGGTTTTTCAACAAATGTGACATTGTCAAAACAAAAAATCAAATATGTTTTTCTCAAATTGTACTCATGGTGTACCGCCTTCACCGTGCCAAATTGCTTTAAGTTTGTATACATAGGAGTAAAATGAAACAAAACCTTAACCTTGTATAGTATCCTTTTGAAAAATAGGAAGAGTTTAAGTGATGAGATTCTAGTAAAATATTTGACATTCTAGGGCTAAGTTTTATGTGATATTTTATTTTGATTCAGTATTATTATTATTATTCTTATTATTATGTTTTGCTAAATCTATGTTTCGGTGTCAATTTCTCCCATCTTCTTTTTTCTATTATACTATGATAAATGAGTGGTAACTCTTATGACAATTTTGGATAGTACCAGAGATATTTTCCAAAATTGCTATAAGAACCACCGTTCATTTTTCATGGTGCAATAGCTCAAAAAGAAAGTCAAATCTTCAAATGTCTTACCTTTATCGTATATGTATCCGCTTTTCCTTCCCGTAATTTATATGCATATTGCTTTACTTCACGTTTAGTTTTATTAAGGTGTAATATAGTAATCTTTAATGAACCTGAATCGAAATAGGATCATGCCATATTGAAGATCTCTTTTCCAGAACCGTCTTAGTACTAAGCCATTACTTCGACGCATGTCTTTTCGTTTCTTTTCACGCCTTCTTCTTCGTCCAAAGTCTCTATAGTATCTTTTTGCAAATTCGATGTCCCGCCTTGAAAGCCCCCAAGCTATGGATCGAAGCTTTCTATTCGTTTTATCTTGGCATAAATGATACCAGCTGAACTTGAGTTCTTCTCCCATACTTATGTGTTGTGTTAACTCTTTATGATTTGTCGTTAGAGATGATGTAAGGCCTTTGAGCTGCTCGATAGCAAAATGGTGGATAGGGTGTTTATCAAAAAGAATCTCCCGGACAGTCAGTGTGTCCAATTGAGTAAATGGCATATCGACGAGCAGTTGACCATTTTCCTCAAAGCTAGAGTCAGAGAATTTGAGAAAAGACATTTTGAGGGTCTTTAAGCCTCTGCAACAAATGGATATATAATTTAAGACTTGTGTACTGACTTCCAGGTGGGCCAGATTTAGCTTTTTTAGACAGTGTGGGTATGTATGAGTAGAAAGGTTGTCAAGATAAACAGAGCTATTTTCTATGCCAAGTTTTTGTAAAACTGGACAATGAACCAATATATTGTTTATTTCTATTGGAGTATGTATGGCATTTATGTTTAATTCAGCAAGGTATGGATAGAGACTGATAGTGAAAGCGAGGTTTCCACACTTTGAAAAGCTACTTTTATATACAAATAGTGTCATTATTTTCAGACCTTTTGAAATACGGCTCTTGTCGATAGTGGAGTTTAATAATTGTATGTCTAGGCTTTCATGGAGATAGACATTTAAGTGGACTAGACTTGTGCCGAATTTCGAAAAAACGTCGTAGAATACAGAAGATTTCCATCCATTTGGAGATTTCCAGCATAAATCTGCCCTGGTAAGATTTGGAAAAAACTTGTTGAGTGTTAAAAAAGTATGGATCGAAGAAATGGGCTTTTCCTTTTCGTATAGACGTATACTCTCAGTAGTAGTGGGAGTAGTACAGTCAGTATAATATGGTGCAAGACGAAGTGTCTGCAGACTAGGATACTTCAGGGAAAGGTAAAGCACCCAGATATCGTCCATGTATCTAGTACTGTATTCTGCTCTAGTCAAGGTATATGCTGGTGGAATACAATGAAGTAGTTCAACATCGGCGTCTGTGATTGGAGTCAAAATAAGGCCGACTTTCAAATATTTCAGTCTGGGCAAATATTGATGAAGAGACTCTATATCCAGCCATGAAACTGTAGTATTTTTTGCAGTATTTCTGGCATCTTCGATTGTAATATTGGAAAGCCTCCTGAGTACAGATAGTTTTTCAAACATTTCCATCAAGACAAGAGATTTGTCTACATACTCCAGGGTCACATTGAGATACGTCAAGGAGTTCCATAAGTTCCAATTCAGGCTATCCACAATCCAACGTTTGTCTTGATACACTTCGGTGTATTCAAGGTATGATAACCTTCTAAACATCTGTTGTAATATTGGCAGGAAAATGGCGCGGTTGGACGGTAAATTTGTGAGTGTAAGTGCCCACACTCGATGTGAATTCTTCCAGTAGTTGTTGGCTTGACCATATTTGTTACAAATGTTGTCGATGTCTCTTTGGCTCAGTATTATTTTACTCCAAATAACATTTAGAAGGGGCTGGGTCCATTTCTTGCATACGATCGAGCAAGAAATTTGGTCTGCTTTTGGTATAAATGTTGCGATATAGCTGATGAGATTGGGGGAAAGCTTTTCGGCCATCCTAAAAGATTAAAAAAAATAATAAGATATAACAGCTAAGTAAGGGGAGTTATACCTTTCTTTATCTTCGTTTTCAAGAATTCAAGAAATGTGTTACACGAGAATTCCTGTGTATGTTTGACAAACCCAAGAAAAATATATTTACAATTAATTGGCTGCTTCTATATGAATATATATCTCCTTATTGTATATTGAAGCCGTTAATAAGCCAAAAGTTAATTGTGTATAATTTACTTCTTTTGAATGTGGCAATTAATGATATAGGCAGGCTGTACAATAACTAAAACTTACTTTCTGATTTGTGTTTTTCATTCAGAAAAAAGAATAACATTAAAAGCCGAGAAAACATTCAGTTTATTTTAGGTTATAAGGTTTCCCAATACATTTTGATTGGGTTTTTTTGTGGAATCTCTACTATAACAGCAGCAACTTTGAACTAAACAAATCACCAACATACATATCTAAGCACTCTAGACCCTTGATATAAAATGAAGTCATAGCAGAAAAAAAAATAGAATCTTCTAAAGTTCAATTCTTCTTTTTATAGTTAAAGGTAATCTTACCAACAGAATACAATTTGAGTTGTCTTTTTTCTTTTGGTGGTTCGAAATCAACTCTTCTCAATACTTGGAATGTTCTTGTTCCAGAAAGTCTCAGCTATGTAACTCTGTGCCTCAAAGGTTTCTTTTATTTCTTGTTTGTCATCTGAAATTTTCTGGCTCTTCGTTCTCGCTCGTCTTTCAATTTGTTTTTATTTTTCATCATCTCTTCATATCATTATTGTGCTCATCATGGCTCAAATCACTAGCCCTGAGTATTTGACAAATGTCTTTTAACAATGATTCACTCCTGATAGAGTCGCAGTAAATGCTTTTTTTTAATGTGTAAAGAAAAATGGAGTTTCGCAGTAAGTAATTAAACTTTATCACTGTTGTTATGGTACATTTTAATAATTCTTATTATAGTCTATATAGACAGATTGTGTGACACAAAAAGGCTGTATAAATAACTATTTTCAAATATTTCAAGCCATAATTAATTTGATCCACTATATACATATACTAAAAACACTGTCTAATTATTTACCAATCGTTGGAAAAATAATTGGGCAGAACTTGTAGAAAAATTTAGCATTTAATAAAAATAAGAAAGCACATACGACATACACATGCTTTCAATCAAAAAATTTAAGCATAAATGTATATAGTGAGGCTCAAGTATAAAAGCATTAGTTTGACTTTGGCTAGTAATAATATATATGTATTATGATAGAGGTGATTATATAATACATCGTATAGCATTATTTTTTCTATGTTGAGAGAATAGTACCTGTGTACTACTTATAAACTCGATACTGTTACGTTTTTTTAAGCCAGAAAAAAAACTATTTACATCTTGATTATTTGACAGTGAGCCCACATATATTGCTTTGATAAAGCAAGATATGTTCACAAGTCATGATAAGTGTCCGTCTCTTGGTGGTTTTGGGGGCTTTAAAGCTTTAAATATTTTTATGTTTTGTTTTATATCTTTATTTGCCAACATGTAGAACATAAATTTATTTACAAACTAAAAGGGGGGACATAAGCTGGTATAGTTTATATGTGTGTAAAAAAAAAGGGATTATTTATAAAGAACTAATTTGTAAAGCATTTGGTGAGGTAGCATAAACAGCTATAAAAATAAAAGCACACAATTAAATATTTTTCTACTAAGCCTGAGAATATTTCCAGGCAACTGATAATCAACTTAGAAGTCACTACAGGTGAAGCTCTCAAAGGCATGGGGAGACAATTATTTTGGCTACTTCTTTAAAAAAACAATTAAAGTTATTAACTGTGTTTTGTGCGTTAAGAAAAACTTTTCAAGTAATTATATGCCACCTTTATACAGTATTTATTTTTACGAAATAATGTCCTTCTTTTGATTAAGTATATTTATGCTACTTGCTCAAGAGAGCTGTTAGGACGAGTATCCGTATATTATTATTTTTATGCATTTTATAATCTTCAGTTATTTATTCCATTGATAGCTTATCAACATAGCGTAATATAAGATATTCATATAAATGTATCTTAAGCTGGGTAAGGTAACTACATGATATTCTGGCTATTTGGACTCAGGGGTTCATTGCAAAATAACAATAATAATACCCGTCTCCCGATGTCTAAAAAAGTCAGAAATTTTATATAGAGTTTTCAAGACAAATGCCTCTCTCTTTAATATGCCTGTTTGCATGGTAATAATGTATACAGCAATATTAGTATAATTGTGTACTTGTGTACTTGGGTGTAAAAAATACCTATATAATCTTACCAAAAATATTATTCGTTTGATATATTTGAACTTTAATGTATTGAAGTAGTCCAGAATACTATACTATCTATACGGACATCCCCTTTAAATATCAACAGTTTAAGTGCATGCATGAATATGTACGTTATGCATAAAATGGTCAGTAAGCACACCCAAATACGTAAGCATGCTCTCTACTGTGCGTTAGGCTGAGCCTTTGAGATGCATTATTAAGATTAAATCATTTTACTTTATATGTATTTCTCTGTATACTTGAGCCATTATTGCTTTTGCTATTATTCAACAGAATTTCACACCCACTGTCTTTTTCTTTCTTTCTTTCTTCCACATTTACCTACTTTGTTAAATTAAATGACTCATATTCATGAAGCCCTGGGTTCCTTTCTCGATAATGACTTGTACAAGTTTACCATGCAGAATGCAGTACTTAAGAACTACAAGGATGTACCAGTTGTCTACCATTTTATCAACAGAAAACAAAACGCCTTTAAACTGAATAAAGATGCTGTTCAGTGGATCAAAAAACAAATTCAAGGTATACGTTGCTTTAATAATATAGATAATAGAAACTCTCCCCCTTTATATTCTTCCCTTTCCTCCAGTGGTTAGCCCAGAACCTTGTTTCTAACTTACAACTTAGCTATGGAGGATCTTTATATCACAGAGGACGAGCTTGCATATATGGCAGCATTTCCATTCTTTGATACGGCGTATATAGATTACCTCTCTCACTTCCGCTACAGACCTTCCGAGCAGATAAAGATCAAATTTGATGAAGAAACGTCTGATCTCGATTTAGAGATAGTTGGATCCTGGCCCGAGACCATCTTGTACGAGACACCTCTACTGGCATTAATCTCGGAGGCCTACTTTAAGTTCGTGGATAAGGACTGGATAGACGATAATCAATATGAACGAGCAAGATCCAAGGCAAGCACCTTGCTTGAGGACGGATGCCAGTTTTTTGAATTTGGAACCAGAAGACGACGCAGTCTTTCTGTGCAAGATTGCGTCATGCGGGCTTTTACTGACATGAAACAAGAATATATCAACGAATGTCAGGATAAAGGAACAAAGGCACTCGGTGATGCGGCCGGAACCAGTAATGTCTATTTGGCCAAGAAATACAACTTCAACGCAGTCGGTACTGTGGGTAAGTACCGAATATGTGCAATTATTTGAAAGACAACAACTCTAAAATATATGTGTCTGTTTAGCCCATGAGTTTTTTATGGGAATATCGGCTCTAGAAGGTCTCAAAAACGTCAATAAGAAAGCACTAGAAGTCTGGACACAGACATACAATGGTGCACTTGCCATAGCTCTCACAGATACATTTACGACTCCTATCTTTCTAAAAGATTTTCAGCACACACTTGCATCTGACTTTACAGGCGTTAGACATGACTCTGGAGATCCAGAAGAATTTGCAAAGACCATTGTCAACCATTACAAATCTTTGGGTATCGAGCCTAGCACTAAAAAAATAGTGTTCTCTGATGGTCTCGATGTCGACCGTGCCACTAGTCTACACAAACTTTGTGATGATCTAAATATCCAATCGAGTTTTGGAATTGGTACTCATTTTAGCAACGACTTTGAGAAAGCAAGTGATCCAAAAAACAAAAGCAAATCTATGAGCATCGTTATCAAACTCAAGGAATGTAATGGTATCCGTGTTATAAAATTAAGCGACGATGTGTCAAAACATAGTGGAAATCAGTCTCTTGTAGATAGTCTTGAAAAGGAACTTGGTATTGTACACTAACATAAGCAAATAAAGCCCTTTCTTTCTCTTTCTCTCTCACTTCTTTTGGTTTACTGACCCTTGAACAAATATACTATACCTTTTACATAAAAAGAATGAGATGTTTTTAAATCATTATATATATATATATCCAATTAACACTAAAGCAAATCCGATTAGGCTGTATAGTACATGGTCATATCATTCTACTTTTAATATATGTGATATATAGTCCTATCAAAGCTTATTTGTTTTTAAGCGTAAAGCCGCGTTAAATAATAATAAAATATCTAAATACTTGGCTGTAGCTGATACTATGCTGTGAAAGACATATTTATTTGGTAAAAGTACCAAGTTTCATTACTTGACACTATGATCGTAATGATATATTCTCCAAATAAATTTTCTTTTAGAATAAATAGCTTTTATGTGTGTGTTTTTGGAGGCTGCAATTACTATACTTTATATGTGACTGCCTAGAGAACAAACACTATCAGAAGTATTCAAGCTAGTCTGTTGTAGTAAAATATATATCTGCACTGAATTAAAAAAAAAACATTTAAAATGTATATTAAATATAAAGATAAAAAAAAGATACTCGAAGAAAATAGCAATGAAGTTATTTTTTTTTGGCAAATAAATATGAAACAAAAGCATAACTATATTTTCTTAAGCTTTACGATTTTTTTATAATAAGATATTTAGGCAAAATTTAAAGTATTAACAAGCTAATCAATGATATAGTAAGATGCTTATTGAAAGTATAGTTTATTTCCTTGAATAATATTCTATAAAGAAAATTCCACTCATGCCTTTATAATTTAAGTGTATCTTTTGTCTGCTGTAAGAATTGGATTCTACCTCAAAAAACTATTGCACTAGAATTTCTATAAACTAATAGGTATTATGTGAATATAATATTAATAAAAAAAAATTATTTTATGTATGGTAAGCCATAATATATTTATAATATTATGGGTAAATAATAATAATAATAATAATAGTAAATTAAAAACCCACAACTTTAAGGTAACCTAAAAAATAAGTACATATAAACAAAAAGCCGACATTTATTAAATTGACCGGATAGCTCGTCTATCTGTAAGCCAACGGCGGTCTATAAAGGAATGAATTCGTATTTGGGTGGAATTAACGGTGGCTGGGTTACTTTGTCGAAGAAAGTGTCTTGCAGAGATTGATGTCGGCATTCGTACCTTGGCGTAGGCTGAGGTACGGAGGTTGCTAAGTACTGGGGTACTGCCCGAGGGTAGCAATACAACAGGGAAAACTCAGAGCATCAGATCAGCTGTAAGATAGCACGTCGGAGAAGTATTCTTCAGCCATTGCCATCCTATACGGGAACTCCTCCTTTTGTAATTTTTTATTTTTTTTATTTCAGTTCATGTTTCATTATTTGCCAAACGATATTGCAAGAAATGATAGTAAAACCCATGTGTGAGTAAAACAAGGTACTAAAAATAAAAGCTTTTTTTTTGTAAAGCTAAAGTAAAGAAGCAAAGTGGCAAAGGGGATGTTTTTAAAGGTTAGTTAAAATTGGTTTGTTCTTTTCTTTGGTCAAATGCAAAAATACTTTTATACAAACAGGCACAAGAAAACATTTTCAGTTACTATGAAATACATGTATGTATATATATATAAGAAGAAGATGTACAAAACAACAATATTAAACAGCTGAATATTATTGCAATAGAGGCCCTTATTGTAATGAGATGCGATGGCAATTAAGGACGAGATGATCTTCCATGGAGATGAGTGATGAACATCTAATATATGGGTTGATGGTACAAAAACATATTAGAGTCTTGATACAAAATCATTATATATTTTATAACTAATTAAGTAACGTGCTGTAACTAAGGTGGTTCTCAAAAAACAAGAGCATTATATATATATTCTCTTTTAAACATATAAATCTTCAAAGTACAATCTTAATTTTTCAGATTTAACTATCCAAGTATGGCCTCTATACCCGGGTTGTCTATGTACACAACTGAATTCACCAACTTTCTTTATATACAATTATGTGGGCTCTCAATAGGAAATAAAAACTACATAATATATACAAATAGAGTATTCAAATAACTTTGACCAAGTGGATGCTCGTTCAATATTCTGAAAAGTGGTTACGTTGATTAACTAATAGCTATGGTGCGTGTTGATTAATCAATAATACCCAATAAAGTTTCTCTAGTTTTAATAATTTGTGCGTGTGTGCGTGTCTGTTTTTTTTAAGATAATAATAATTCAAATACCATGGTAATATATTTGGATTTGTTTTGAATTGAAACATATATAGCCTAGTCATTTTACACATAGACACAGACAGACAATGCACATACGTATATTTGCCTGACTATATACACTTTATGTACAGACACCTTAATAGCTCGAACAGCAGTGCGCATACACATGCATACATACATATATATTAAGAAAATGAAAAAAAGCAAATAAAATATAGAGAAATACAAATATTGCAAGGTTGTAAATTGATTGATAATTCATATTAACAGGCAGTATATAAATAGGAACTATTTCAGTAAATAGTTAAAAAGAAAAAGAGGGATACATGGTTTGGTATCATACGTTTGACAAGGTAGTGTATGTTGAAGACATCTTGCAAACCTTCATGTGTCTTTTGACATTGTAAGTACTTCAAAACTCATTTTCACAAAGGGGACTGTTTGGTTTTTTCCAGTCAAGGGAATGTTTTCTATAGTGTCTTGTAAGATTCGATTTGCGATTACATTGAAAATTGCAACTTTTGCAAGAAAAAAATTTAGTAGTAGAATCATCACCATTATTTATCTCGTTTCTGCCGATATTCAGATCATATTGACTAGAGGTATTGCAAGTTCGGCGAGTACGAGGTCTTTTAGGATATATATATATATATATTGATAGTTGTGTGGAATATTTAGGCGAGGTATTAGTATTTTGTAAGAAAGAGAATCTGGTAAAGACTTACGCTTTCTAGTGAAGCTTTCAAGGAAAGTATTAAAAAAGACGAACTGTTGAGGCTTGAGAATGCTAGGTACGACTTTAGAAGTTGAATGGGCACACAATTCTGACTGGATTATATGTTTAGCCTTGTATTGAGCTTGAGCCGGACAGTCATGCTGATTGAATTGATCCATAATATGATATAATGTTTTCTCATTTGTGGGGTGGGATGGTGACATTTGATTATATATTTTCTGGATATTAACCTTGTATGAACAAAAAGGGCACTTGTCTAAAGTTACACGATTAATAGACAGAATGTGCTGGATTGACGTGGTGTTGCACAGAGCCTCATCATTGTTAAGCTCAAAGTTGACATCTGGGAAAAAAGAAGATGTTTGGGTAGCTTTTTGAGTAGGTATAAGAGGTGGTGAATAGCCATAGAGTAAGTTTGATGATTGGTTACAGACAGTCTGCTCTTGCTGGTTTGAATTCAACCCTTGGCAGTTATACGTGTTGAATTGTGGGCTGGTGTGGCAATTGTGTTGACTGCTAAGATGAATTTCTGCCAGAATATTGTCATAAGATACACCATAACTTGGGATCTGGAATTGATACACTGTCGGATTCATTAAGAGTAATACAATGGTGAAGTAGCGTAGAGAGAGAAAAGAAAGATGTGGTTCAGTAGAAAAAAAATGAAATTCTGTAAATTTGCTTTTATAAATTTAAAAAGCTTGAAATTCAAGATCGGTTTCCAATTTAGAATTTTTTGGGTGGCAAGAACAAAAGCCAAAACGATAGATAATCAAGCTTATAATACATATATATATATAAAAGACATGGTTTAAAGTGTTTTACCTTAACCGGAGTTATCCGAGTGGAATAAAGATAGAGAGAATGAGAGGGGGGTTAGAACACTAGGTGGATCTGTTTTTGTATTGTTTGTGAGAGAAATCAATTAATATTGAATATAAAGTTTGGCGATTGTAAATATATATGGTTTTGTTAATTATTGTAGTAGCTCTTGTTTTGGCACACAATGCAAGGCTAAATCTCAGTAGTAAAAATGGTATTTTCACAGGTATGCTTTCTATTTTTCTCTTTCTTTTTACGGTGTATGACTTATTACCATCCAATGATTGAAAATTACTGGCGCTAAAAAGCCAAAAAAGAATCAAAAAGTTAAAAAAATAAACTTCACTCATCATTCAAAGCAAACAAAGTAATTCACTCCACTTTGTACGTATTAGCTCACTGTATCGTCCCCACACTTTGTGTGTTCATCCATATCCTTCCAGGAATCTACCTCCTTTTTTAGGAAGTACGACCTGTTTTTGGAAAATTCAATAATAAAACTTTGTTTTTTTTTGTACGAGACAAAGTAATTTTTTTAACTCGCATATTGTGAGATGTAAATATTTCTATTTCAGCAATTTTATTTTATTACAGAATTCTTGTAAGCCCAGGTATTAATTCTTTAAAAGAACAAGAGTATGGCTTTAATATTCTGTGCAATATATATGAAATATTTGGGATTGTTATTGGATTAGTATCCCAATAATGGGAAAGGTAGACACTGTAAGAGTGTTATTTATTAAAGAGATAAAATAATATTGTTAATATATATTACTATTAAAATTCCTGTAATTCAAATCCCTGCTGCGTGATGGTTGGTTTGCATTGTATGAGTGTGTAGTATACATGTGCTTGGTGTGTAACAGCTCTAGATATTGTTAACTTGCCAGATTCATTAGCAAGAATGAACCAGTGTTTGGTTGTGGAGTATGTTTTTCACTCAATTATGGTGTGTATACCACAGCGTTTACTTTGAAGTCTAGCCTCTAATGTGGCGAGTGTCTGGGTGCCGCACTTAGTAAATGACGTGATGAAAATAGTCGGTTTGTGCTTGTGTTTATTTCATCAGTCTTGTGGGAGCATATATGAGGAGGAAAGAAAGACAATGGTATAAATGTAATATTCGAGTTTATCACAAAATGTGGGATTGCGGACAAGTTGAGCGTCGGTGCGACACGATCCCTTTTCTGTTTCGTGGGGGAAGTGAACTTAAAGCTAGCCGCTACCAGGCAACTATCAGACCAAGTTGGATGTATATAGGTGACAGACAAGAAATTGTGGAATAGAGCAAGGTCATAATATGCGTATGCATAATGTATGGATGAGGAGCAAAATTACCGATGAAAATGTTGGGCAGCTTTTGTCAATACTGTGAAGTACGAAGTGGGTCGATTAGTTGTTGTAGATGAGATAGCCAAAGTGTTTGCATGGCCGTATACAACGTTTTTCCATGGGAGGAATTGTGTGGTTGTATAGCAGAGAAACCCATCTCTTATTTAGGATACAAAAATTCTGTGCTAGTATAGTTATTGTAAGTTGTATTATACTCTTCAGAGAGGACTGTGTATCAGAATAATCTTTACTGAGCCGAAACAAAGACAAATAAACAAAATACTTTTTAACAATGGTTTGAATCCTCTCTCTACATTCCCCCATCCCTCCATCCCGTTCGAGAATCTTCATTCCTTTCGGGGATCGTCATTCATATAACATGGCAACTCAAAGTAGACAGAAATCGACGCAATACGAAGAGAGCATAGTCTTTTTTAAAAAAAAATCAAACTATTCTTTATTTTATCTTTTTGACGGCTGTCCACGGTATATATGAGTCGAACAAAAAATAGACCTTTGGTCAAACTTTCATGTCCCTATAAACTTCTCGACGCTTTAAAAATCGATATCAAAATCGTCACCAACAGTCATACTATTTCTTTATTTTATTATTACAGTAAGATCCATATCAGAATAGTAGCCATACACTATATTATTTTATACCTAGAGTATGACACACCACCATTCTCAGAACTGGCTTTCAGCTTTTGTACGGACATAATATCCATATGCTTATACTTCCAAGACCTTCTTAAAAGACAATGACCCCATCTCATTAGACATAATCTTCAAAGTTTTCAACTTTTGGTATATTTTTAAATAACCTGTTCTAGACAAAGCAGACATCACCCAACACGAAGTCTGGTCATAGTAATGTTCATCGTGTCACATCGTAATGCTCAAACCTATAATAATAATGATAAGAAACATTCAGTAAGTACACACCATAATTTTAAAACTTATAATATATAAAGAAAGACTTCTTACACACGGCTTCCGTCTATCTCACTACTCTGCACTCTTTACACCACACAAATACTCTACTGTCAAAACTTTCTTAGTATTTTTAAATAAAATCACTGTTAAATTATACTCTCATTCTTTTTACAGCTTTCACTTCAATCAAATTGACTCAGTATTCATCTGCCCATATATCTTATTTATCTTAATATATTTACAGAAACAAAAAAAAGAACTATAGTTGTTTGTATACGTACTGCCTTTAATTACAAATATATTTTTCATTTTTGTTGCTTATTATTTATTTAGATCTAGAATTAATTTTAAGTGAAGTATGTACGTGTGTGCCTCTTGCTATCTGGGTAGATTTCTATGTGAGAAAAATATATGTAGAGTTTGTGTGTGCCCAAATAAATCTATGTGTGTCCAAGTGAATTTATGTGTGTCCAAGTGAATTTGTGTGTGTTCAAGTAGATTTGTGTGAGCAAATTTTGCCATATGGGTAGATTCTGTCCAGTAGGTAGATTCTGTGTGGCCCTAGGTAGATTTTGTGTGTCTTTATGTATATTTTGAATACCAGTCGTAGCACGTCGGAGGTGAAATTACTAAAAGAAGATAATTTGAATAGTTAAAAAAAATAAAGGTCTTCATTTATTGATATCTGTATTGTATTTATACTATTTGTTAATTATTAATGAATATATAAGTATTAAATTTTAATATTGAGAATAACTTTTATTGCTCAATACTAAAATTGTAAAATATTATATTTTTAAAAAACAGACTCTACAACTAAATATTAGTTCCTTCCTGCTAATTAATTTAACAAATTCATAATTCTCAAAACTGTTATACATCAAGTATATATATACTACAAACTTATATAATATAAGCTACTCATTAAATAGTATAAATTTGAATTGCAATAGATTTTAATAGTACCAGATTAAACATTAATATTTTATCTTTTTAAAAAAATAACACTTGAAGTATATACTTTTTTTTTAATATGGAGATATCAGCTTAAAATCAATTACAAATATCTTAATTACAATGTAATATATTACATTGTAAGTAAGTTATAATTAAAATAAGAGAGTCAATTACTTATTATTAAATAATAATAAAAAATTAAATATTAATGGAAAAGTTGTAAAAAAAAGCAAAAACAAAATAAAATAAAATAAAATAATTAATTTAAATTTCAAATGCCCAATCTTTTTTGTAGATTTCAGGGCATTTTTGGATCTCAGCTGTTTTAAGAATTTTTTAGTGCTCAAAAACACCTAGGAGCATAGCAATTTTGTGAGGCTAGAAAAATCCCTCCACAAAAAAAAATGCGGTGGTGTTTCAATATATTGTTTCTCCTAATGTCGTATAATCAAAAAAACAAAATTTCCTCACTTCGTAGTTGGAATCTTACTTTAGAAAAAAATCATACTAAACTGTCTATTTTTTAAATGCTACAAATAAAGTAGCAAAAGTAGCAAAAAAAATGTCAGCAAGTGAAAATTAAATAATTGGATTTCGCATATAATATTAAACTTTGATATATGAGTATGTATGTTTTTTTTTAAAAAAATAAATTAAAAAATAAATAAATAACCATATTATTTTAATTTTTTGTCTTACATATAATATAGAGTTATTTAATAATCTAATAAGAGTAAAAAATATAATAGTATGATCTTTATTGCTTTGTTTTTATTTATAATAATCAGTAATAATAAAGTAATATTTAATAAATATTTAGAGTATTTTTTTGGCAAAGTAGTCTACTTAATTAAAGAAAAAATAATATTTAAAATTAATATATATTCAGCTATTTGATAATAAAAGTATTTCATTACCCTAATAATATACTACATTCAGTATTGTTATTTTCAATAAATAAAAAAGAAATTAAAGAAAATCAATAATCAATCTTATTTTTTAAAATGTAATAATTTAATTTTAAATGACTTATAAACATAACACATATAGCTTCTTTATATAAAATATATATTATTATATACTCTAATATATATGCTTATATTCAGAACATACAATTCATAAATAACAATTTATTGAATACTGAAAAGTTATTAGCAATACTATAAAAAAATAATAATTTAAGAATTTAATATAGTTTTATTAATATAGTAAATTTTTTAAAATTATATTATATTTTATTGTAATTTCTAATCTGTTTTTTTTAAATATAAAATTCTATTATCTTTACTTTCCTCTCTGCCTTTTATATTTCTTTATTATTTCAAGCATATTATTATTTTTGAAAATAATACAATTTGAATTATTTATATAATATATATTTTGATCAATTACTTAAAAATATATAATGTTTATTATTATAAAGTGCATAGTAAGAATCTTAAAAAGAACTTGTTATAATAAAAAACAGTATCTACCACTTTATAAATACAGATTATATATTTTATATATGTTTTTATTTAAACTTGATATCTCAGATTTTCTTGAGAAATAGAATATATCTTTGATTTTTATAATAGTCTTAATAAAAATATATAGTTTGATATCAAGTAGTTGTCAGCTTTAATTTATATATTAGTATTATAATTGTGAATATTTTTATTGCATCTATTAATATTAAATATTAGAAACTTTATAATAGTAGTAATTAAGATATAATATTATATTTCTTTTTTATTTATTTTTTATCAAAACATATTTGTGTTAATTTTTATTTTTATTTAATAAAATAACTGTGATTTCCTTTTCTTTCTCTTTTCTTTCTTTTGTTTTGTTTTGTTTTTATTTATTTTTTATTTGCCTTAATATTTTGATAAGCTTCTTTTTTAGACTCATATTTTTACTAAATCACTTATAATATTTTTTTACTGTGTATTATATTTACAGAATCTGAGATATAAATTAACAAACTTAAAAATATATAGCTCAAGTCAGGTATTAATCTGAAATAACATTAATAGCAAAGAGTTGTTATAAAAGAGTTAATACACTTCTTTAGATTATTATAGACAATATAATATAATTTTTTTTCAAAAGACAATAATAATAAAAATAAATATGAAATAACAAAAAATAATTTTTTAAAAGAAAAAGATATAAAAGAGATAGAAAATATTAAGCTAGAAATAGTATTATTAATAAATACAAAAAGTCTTATTAACTTCTTTAATAAAATAAATTACTCAAAGTCTCACTTTATCTTACTGTTCCTATCTTTACACATCTCTTTTTACTTATTTCATTAATCTAAAATCTCAAAATATTTTAATTTTAGTATATTATTATTCATATTAACTATAATTCACTATTTACCAATATATAAAATATTATTATTAAAAAAATTAAAATTATATTAATAAAATCTAATATTTAATTTATATGAACTTATTATATTATATTTAAGCATATTATTACAGATGTTTTAGATACTTTGTGTAAGCAGATTAAAAGTTTAAAAAGAAATAAAAATTAATACAAGTTCATTTTGAACTTAGTTAATAAAGGTGTTGAGTTATGATAATTTTAAAGTAATTAAAAAAATAATTATTTGTAAAACTCAATCAAAGATAAGAATAAAACTCAGACACAGTTATGAATACTATAAGTTGAAAACATTGATACTAAGAAATTTAGAGAAAATAGACTTTAATAAACTTGACTTTCCAAGGCTTATTTTATTAAATAAGTATAAAGAATAGACTACTGGCTTGTGGTGATCCAGACACTCGGATGTTGGATTTATCACATATAAGAACATATTCATATTGGGATAGCGTAGTAGCTATCATCTTGTCAGTATAAAATATATATAAACGATTAAGTAATCAGCTCAATAATTATTACAGTTAGTACTGTAGATAATATCTTAAAGATTGTTAAGATAATTATATCATACTGCCAGGTAAACTGTGTCAGATTGATATGGAGCTAATTTAGTAGGAAGTCCTAAAGCTCTAGTATAAAAGAGAAAAGAATAGCTAAGAGCTAAAGAAGTATGATTTAGGACTTGATGTCATAATTGTAACACTGACACTAGTTAAGCAGTAAATACACTCTAATAACCAAATATAGTAAAGGAAGAAAGCCTTAAGAAACTAAGACGTAATGACAAGAGCAGATTGTGTTTTCTTATAAAAAGGGACACTTTTTATTTATGAATAAAGACAACTTATATACAGTCTCAAAGTATTTCTATACGTCTCTATTATCAAATATTTTATTTTTTTTATTGTTTCGTACCTGAAATACCATATGGCTATCATACATTTTGTTTTAAAATAAGAAAAATAAGCTCAATTTTTACTAGACATTTAGTAAGCATTTGAAGTCAAAAATCAGGGAATCTCTAACTTTTGGTTTCAAATGCTCACTAAATAGCCTCCACTATAAAATTTGCAAAACAAATATTTTAACAATTATTGTGATGATTTGAATATTTGATTGTTAGATTTATTATATATAAGAACATATTCATATTAGAATAG